AAATTCTGTAGTTACATGACTACTGTACAACAATTGCATTCCCCATTATCAATTTTGAGAGAGCAAGCAGATTTTTAATCAGTGTGCAGAGTACCCTTAGGACACACAAAACTGTTCAAAAATCACAATGGCAACATTCTCATACTACAAAGGAACCGTCTGTTTGGCTTCTAAGCCTTTCAGAGTCTTAATTAAAAATTATGTGGAAAAGAATACTGCCAAAGGGTTTGTTAACTAAAGGTGCCTCTGTGAAATACCCAACTTCCTCATTCAATAGCAAATGACATCTGATCTGATCTGATGACAAAAGAATGTCCCTCCAAATACAGAATATATACAAACTGTGTACAAATAATGAGAGAGAAATTAAACACAAGCACAGCTAGGAGTGAGACCTGGAGTCAAACACGATCCCATCTGCTCCTCTAGCAGCACGTTGCATCTCCTTCCCAGCCTGCACAGTACATCTACTAGTACTCACAAGATGCAGAAATCTTTATTAAGAACCAGCTTAATCCAAACACCAAGATTACTAAGAGAAAGGGTCATGGCAAGGAACAACCTGGGCCCATGTGAACACCTCGTTTCTGACAGCGGCTCAGAGGTGCTTCCACAGAACCTTACACCATACAGTGGGACACTTCCAAAGAGTGGGAGGGCATAAGGGCTGCATGTAGGAAATCTGTCTTCCCCTCCAACACAAGAACACATGTTCTTGGCTCCACTACATCACACAACAGGTCTACGGTTATACGACTGTGCAGTAATTGATTTGGCAAGATGATCCAAGTTAATCCTTCTTCCAGTCTTCCACTGTGTGAGAAAGTTGAACAGATTTTCCACATCAGCACACTAACTGGGTTCAGGATAGAAGTGACAGAAAGGTGTGGCCTGGCCTTGGGAACAGGCAAAAAGAAAACAGAGTAGAATTGCTCTTTTTGGTGGCTGCCCGGTTCAGTAAGATAAAGCAAAACATGAGCCTGACCTCTCTCTGTAACCCACATATTTCAAGGGAAAAAAAAAAAAATCAATTAAAAAGGCAGGGGGGTATGCAGACTCACAAGGAGAACAAGAGCTTCAACTACCTCCAAAGCAAGGTAGGGCTTTCTATTCCTCCTCAACACATTGCATTTGGTAGAGTTGGACAGACTGTTCCCTCAAGAACAGTGATGACATTCTCTCTGTATCAGTGTATTTACTAACATACCATTTTCCCAAGAATCACAGCCCTTCAAAAATTAGACACTGAAAGATGAGAATGCACTCCAAGATGAAACAAAACTACAATATACCTTCCCTTATTTACAATGCTACATGATGTAAAGCCTAATTAATCTTTCAAATAAAAAGCAGATGTCGCGTTTTAGGAAAATAAATCACAGTCTACCTTAGTTACCAGGATGTCAGGACATTTTTCTTGCAGCCAGTCAGAAGGTGGGTGAATTTGGGAAAGCTAGGTCACCTCTTTTTTTCCTGCATTTATTAAAGTAAAGGCACCTCTCAACATCAAATGCTAAGACTGAAGGGCTATAAATAAGAAATTGGAATTATGATTAAAGCAGTTTTTGAATTTTCACTGCTGCACAGGAAAATGAAAGGGGAAATGAAGGCTGCCAAGCTAAAACACCAACAGAACTGGAGATCCAGAATGGTGTGCACAAGACCTCCAATTTACTTAAGGTGGTTCCACAGATAAAACAGAGGAAATATCCAAAGGGGCTTTTTTAGTTTATATCTTTCCACATATGCATGGTGGCAGATGTGAAGGGCAGAAATAAACAAGGTTGCTCTAAAGTTCCATTCCTACTAGCATTTCAACCTTCACATTAATGAACTCCTCTACTGAAACTGCACCATCACAGGGAGCCAAAATGAATACATTTGCACAAAAATCTGCATTTGGAATTCTATGCAAGAAAACGTTCTGATACAATCAGATCTTTGGCAACACATAGAACCAAAAGCACATTCCAGCAGTTCGGAATTCTACATTAATATTGTTTATACAGTTTTCTTAATTTTTATATATATATTAATTTTAAAAGGCAGGAAAAAAAAAGACTAGAGAGCTTTTCATCCCATTTCCCCCATTAAGAACACAGAAATTTGCTCAATTGTTCTGGAATTAACAGTATACAAATACTCTTCACCAAAATGGCTCTCTTCTTATTCCATACTGAAGCATAGGGAACAAGATCTTCCATCACCATATGAATGGTGCCTTAATATGAATCTCAAAAGACTGTTCCTTACTTAGCACTTGTGGGCAAATTCCATTCCATTCTCAGATGCCGAAGTCACCAGTTGAAGTGCAGTTGAAGCTAAACAGCACAGACTTTTCTAGATTTCCAGAATCTAGAACATACATACTTACATACAAAGCAGCTGGTAGGAAATCAGGAAATAATGACTGCAATCAGTTGCTGGTTAGTGGCAAGATAAGCCTAGCATACCTGTAGCTTCCAAGCTTGCCATTTTCAAAAGAACATGTCACTGTTCTTTACTGTGCTGTTCCAGACCCCATACATATAATCACTTTTCAATAACTTCCACTTAGCGAGACTTTTAAACCTTAAGTATATCTCAAACCAGTCACCAGAAGGGCAAGGGTGCACTCTCTTCCCCAGTCTCAGGTCCTGGTGACTCACTTCTTGTTCACCACTGCATCTGTCTGCTACAACACATATTTGCATCATCCCCATCTCTATTTCTCAGCTGTTTCATTACCTTGAATAGCAGCTCTTCATCACTGCTTCCCACCAATTAGCATCAACTCTCCAACACAGGGATACATATTCATGTAAATTTTACCTTGATCCTATGATTTGTAGTGACAGAAGGAAAAAGCCATCTGTCTACCAACAGAGAACCTTGACTACCCATACAAAAGGCTTCCCTAACCATAACTAAGAGGTAGTAATTCAAACAATATTCTGTAAAAAATACGATGACCTAGATGTCTCATCTCCAAACAACTGAGCCATTTCCTAGACAAAGAGAAATATGGATTTTGGTCCCTGCTTCAAAAGCTCTATCATGAAAAGTATTAATAATGTAACATTTGACCTGCTGATATTCTTCTTCTTCATTACATGTCTCCCAGTGTTTCAGAGACAGAAATGAGCTAGGCTCAACTCCCCTAAAAAGCAGGCATGCTTTTCACATTTAGGGTAGCCAGAGCATTAAAACAGTGAAAACAGGAACACATTCCCAGCATCACTGCGATGAAGAAAAGGAAGCAAAACCTAGAAAATCCAGTCCCCTGTCTTTTTAACCCACAACCTGTTCTAGTGCAAATAGCAGCAAGGTAACATGCTGCAGTTATAGGACTACATGCTGCCCCGGTGCTCGTTAACAACATACCATCTCTCATTAGCATGCTTTCAGAGTCACCTTAAGACACTGGAGATGTTAGCTGCGGGGCAAAACGTCTGCTCGGGAGGTGGGACAGACGCGGCTCTGGGGGCAGGAGAAAACCTGCCTCACAGGGCTCCGCTCTCACAACCCTGTAAAGGGCCGGCAAGGGAAGAAACCGCAACAAGCATACACGAAAAGTAAGAGAGGGAACGAGGGGAGCGAGCGGCGAGCTGCTCCCGCGGAGCCGCCCAGCCGGCCGCCCAAGAGCGTGAGGGGTCTCCGGGTGGAACTCACAATGCTGCCGGGAGGAGATGGAGGCGCGGCGGGGTGGGGGCGCGTCCCCTTCTCTCCTCAGCGGCCCCTGTGAGACCCGCCCGAAGGGAGGGAGGCGGGCGCCCGCTCACCTGTTTCGCCAGGAACCTGCTCAGCTCCGTACTGCTCTTCTCGTTCCTGCGCGCCACCAGCTGCAACGGCCCCGCCAGACAGAACCGCAACTCCGCCTCCATCCTCCTGCTGCTGCTGCCGCCGCTGCTGCACCGCTTGGGCGCGGGCAGAGCTGAGGTGAGCAGCGGGAGAAGTGCGGGATAGCCGCCGGCAGCACGTGGGGCGCGGAGCAGACACGCACCTCTCCACCAGCTTCCGCTCCGCCGGCGCCGCCGTCACCCACCCGCGACGTCACAGCCTCTCACGTGACGGGCCCCTCAACGGTCAAACTACAACTCCCAGCATGCACCGCTAAGAGCGGCCCACAGTCGCCGGGACTGAGGGCGCCCGGTGCATGCCTGGAGATGTAGTCTCCCAGCACCGGCTACTCCAAAGGCAGCAGGAGGCATCCCGTCCGGGAGCAGAGCGAGTCTCTCCCGCTTTCTCACGGTGCTGGGCGTCCTCATCCTGCCCTATTCCCTGCTTTCCGGAGAGTGACCTTCGTCGCTACTGCTAGGCTTGCCGATAGAAGACCGAGTCAAGGGCCGCGGACCACAGTGCTCCCCCTGCGGCCCTTTAAATCTAGGTCACGGCAGCTGTCAAGAGCCCTGAACGAGGCCGGACGGTGACTAACCCAGACAGGCGGTTCAGGCTCGGGAGGAGGAAGGCTGGCATTACGCTACGATTTATTTCCACGTCACTCTGCCCCGAGTTCTCTCGCCGGCCGCAGCGAGTTCACGAAGCCCCTGCTCGGCTCTGAGACACTAACGATGTTTCCAGCTGGGTTGGGTTAGACAGCAAGGTCGCCGAGAGCAGAAGCCGGACTTAAACCTCGGGTTCTCCGGGGGAACCATCGGAGCTGCCTGACGCCCGTCCCGCCATAACAGCGGGGCGCGGCTCTCCGCGCCCAGCTCCCACCAGGCGAACCAGCGCGTCGATCCCACAGACTCCTGCCGCCGCTCCGCTCCCCTCTCCTCTCCACAGCCTTTACGGGAGGGCTCGGCGGCTGCGGCGCGGGGCGGAGTGCCCAGCACGGTGACCTGCTGATCACGGTCAGCACGACTTCCCGCGCTCGGAGCCGAGGCAGGGGCTGGGCCGGGCAGGGTCAGGGGGAGCGGGGCAAGGAAGGAGGCGGGGCGATGGCGGGGAAGGGGGGCGGAGCTGCCTCGCGCGGCTTCCTTTGGCGCCAAGTGCTTCAGGCTGGAGGGCGGGGTTTGTCTGACGTCTCGGCCGGGGACGCGCTGTGCGTCTGCGGGGGTTGGTTGTCGTTGCGGGGAGTTCCGCCCCCTCGGCGCCCGGCCTGCGGGACCAGTGGCGGCGGCGACCCGTGGGGAGTCGTTGGTCGAAGGCGGCGGCGCGTGGCTGACCGGTGGGTGAGGGTCTTGCGCCGTCGCCGCTTGCCGAGTGGGACCATTTCCCCCTCTCCCTTTCAGTCCCTTCCCCGTCTCCGCCGGCCTGGCTGGGGTTTCGGCGCCGCCTTGCCCTGCGCGGGTGCCATTCCCTTCTTCCATTACTCCTGCGCCGATCCCGTCGCCCAGTTCGGCTCGGTTTGGTCCGGTCCGGCCTGGCCTTAGCTGCCTCGGCTCTCACAGCACCCTGCTGACCTCTCCCTTCCCCGGGAGCAGCCTGCCCCCTCCGGTCCGCCCGTGCGGGGCGGCTGGGCCGCTATCAGCAGTTCTCCCGCCCGGAGGTCCTGGGCGCTTCCGCCGTGACAGGAATTGGGGCTGGCGGCAGCCCCTTCCCGCCCGTGCAGGGTGGGTGAGGCCCGGGGAGTGGGCAAGGGCCGCTGCTGCATCTGGGCTGGTGGTGTTGCTGCCCAGCACCGGGCAGTGCTCCCTGCGCCCCGGCACCCGAGTTTCTCCCGTGCTTCTCTTCCCCACGCAGAGGGTCCCTTAGTGTGGCAGGCAGCTGCACTCCCTTCAGAGGAGCTTCTGTGTCAGTTCTACAAGCGTGTGTGCTGGTAAAGTCCTTTTGTAATAGCTGTTGTGGAAGATACTGTATGTCCTGTGGCCAAGCATTGCTATATACTGTGGCAAGCAAAACGTTACTTGCCTGCTGGTGCTCATTACTGGTTTGGCTGGTGGTGTCAGACTTGGAAATTTGCTCTTAAATGGTCAGCAGAGAAGAAATCAGAATTACCAAATCAGAGTGGTTTAGCTGGTTAAGATACTCCTTCATATAACCTATTCATACAATGTAATGTTTGTATTCATACCAAAATTTCTTTGTAGATCTTTGGTACATATGAATAACATATACAGCTGAAGATCTTCTTTATAATTAATACAGGATAGACAATTTCTTACTTTTCCTGATGGAGCTTTCTGTTAACTTGACGTAAGGGTTTTCTCATTCTAGTGTTGGGTTTTGTTGAACAGCAAGGGCCACAGGTAGCTCAGGCGTAACCGACTTATTTCATGATGCTTCTGTTTTAGAGTGTTGTTCTGAAAGTGTCAATCTGTTGTCTCTCTTCTGATATTTTCCTTGTAGATGGGGAAGCCATAGGGAGTTTGTATCATGGCAGCAGATGAGGATGGACTGGGACTGTTTGATACCCACTACGGTGGTAAGATGTATTACTTTGTGTTCTGTTTTGCAGTGAAATAACACGTTCAGTTTTGTGAAAATAAATAAGCCCCAAAATAACTTGGAAAACAAAATGGAAACAACTGAAGCTGGGACAAATACTAATGAGTTCTAACTGTAATTAAATGGCTGTGGTGCACAAGTAAGAGAGATTATATCCCTTTAGTAAGTTTGGATTTTAAAACATAACTGTGTACTCTGGATTTCTGGTGTGGTTTCAGGGGGTGTCTGGAACTGGTTCCTCCCCTATATTTTACAGTGTATAATTTAACCTTCACTATCTTTTAGTGAAGTGTGTATTTGGACGGTTCAGAGGATTGTTCCTTTGCTATGTGTAAGAGCAAATGCGATAACATCTGGTATAGAACCAACAGTCAAGGTACTCTAGCTTGAGTGTCAACTCTGCAGTTGATCTGACACGTTATTGGTGAGATTCCCAGCTGCATGAGAGCTGTGGATATTGGTATTGTTCACACAGGGGAAACAAGAGTGATAAGAGGCATTGGAAAAAGACATGAAGAGAGATTGATGAGATTTAGGTTAAAGTATTTTTAAAGAACCAGTTAGTGTGGGAATAGATAGCAATACTAAAGCAAATTCTTTGAATTACAGTACAGACTGTTATAATACTTTCTGTGTAGTGAGAAAGGTTTCTTTCAGTGGTAGTGGCCTTATACTAATTCTTTTATTTTTCCTTCCGAGTTGTAAACTTTAGTATTCAGTGTGTTCTAGAAAACAGTTTGAAATTTAGATCAAGTTGACTTAGTTTATAAATATAAAATTTATTTGTATTTAAAAGACATCATTTGCTTTATGTAGAGTTCTTGTATTTAGGAATTGATTTTACAAGACTGTCTTTGCTCCCTGGTGACTAAAGATCTTTTCTCCAAAGCAGCAGTAGCTTCCTGGTTAAAATTCCCCTGTGCTTTACTAGTCAGTTCTACTACTTTTACTACTCTACTGGTCTAGGATCACAGCTATACTTAGGTCATGGGAGAATCAGAGGTTTGAGTTTACTAAATGTTTACCTTGGATTCTTTTTCTTTTTTTCTTTTTTTTTTCTTTAGCTGAAGCTTCCCCCTTCAAGGAAGGTGATGAGAGCTCAGTTGATATTTATGATGGCTTGGACAACAGTTTGACAGTTCCTGGTAGGTTGATTGTATCTTGCTGCTTGGAGTGTTACAGAGTCTCTGTGCTTCTTAGGCTGGTTTCAGGTAAAACAACAGTTAGCTTAAAGCTTACATTTAACTAGTTTAATACACGCTTTGGTAAATTACTTGTTTAAATTCAGGACATGTTGCAATCTGTATAAATACATCTACAACAAATCTATTAGCTGAATGAGTATAAGATGGTTTTCATGTGATAATGGCTATTTTAAGAGCTCGGGCGTAGTAAAGGGGTGCAGAGAGACCTTAGTCATTCTATCTGTGCCTTGATATAAGACATTTTTACCTTGAAAAAAGCACCTTTACTTTCTGTTTTTTTAATAGCTTCAGGATCAGCACCAACAGTCACTGATCACTAAATCCCCAATGAGACCTCAAGAAAATACTTTCCATGTGATACAGTCCATTCAGTAGATCCTTTTAACTTGGTCTTACTTTCTCAATAATTTCATGTGCTAATGTAAATTAATTTCCTCTTTTAACTTCTTTGAAGGTAAGAAAGGAATGGATCCAGCACATGTTCTTTCTTAGGAGTCTCAGTGTTCTGTTTAATGAAATGCTGTTTCTAATATTTAAACAAGTGTTTCACTATTGACCATACTAATGTAAGGCCATTGAATTTTTATGGAAGTAGTGTACTATATCCTATATAATACATACTATAACCTATGCATGAAGCATCGATATATCTTTTACTTACCTTCTATTCTGTATTTATTGCAGCATGTAGGAGTATTCTCTAAGTCCCTGTTTCACATGCTGAGATGCATTGCTTATTAAATGTTATTCCTTTTTGCATTTTTTGCAGTACAGTTAAATATTTTATATAGTCTAGTTCTGAGGGTTCTTGTTTTTGAAATTTTAAAAGAGGGTTGATAAATTTTTTGCTCTATACGGATAAGACATTATTTTATGTTATCTTGCATTGTTTTAAAAATACTTTTTGCATTATGGTGTTGTCCAGAGGATTGAAGCATAGCTTTGATAGCTAAGTTCATTTATTTAGTTGCAAATTAATCTGTATTTCAGAGGTGTCATAAGTTGAGTCCTGTCAGTGAAGCATATTTAGTGAACAGAGCACACAGGTTGATTTCAGGAAAAAGCACTGTTATCTAAATAGTTGGGTTGTTTGCATGTTGCGCTGATATTTGATTGGTTTCTGATTTGTTTTGTTGGTTTGTGGTTTCTTTGGTTTTTTCTTCTTTCACTTCTTTGGACTAAAGCTAGGGAGTTTCCATTTGTAAGGGAATATAAAGCAGCAGAGAACTTTTACTCAACGTAAGGAGTGTGGTATTCAACCATGTACCAGCTCTACAGTAACTCCATTTGATTCTGATCAACTGATCCATGTTTGTCAATCTGTGTAGATCATTGGCATCTGAGTATTCTTTTTCTCAATAATTTTTTTTTCAAACGCCAGTGTTTGCCAGGTAAAGTCTGCCTAAAAGCTGAATTAACTGTGGGGTGCACATGTCCCAGCTTTCTGCTATCTATTGGCTTTGTATTGCAAAACCTCAAATCACTGCTAAGGTGTAGCCCTTCTTTCTTTGTAAATCAGGTAGATTTACTGTGAGCAAGCTTTCCTTTGACTTAAACCAACTTATTAGTCATAAAATGCGCCCCTCTTTGTTGTTAGGTGTCCTGCATATCTCTTAATAGAAATATAATGTTTTCAGTTGGCCTCTAATTTTCATCATTACCTTTTATATTGATATAAATTGGATCAAGTATTTTCAATAAACTTACATAAATGTTGAAATTCAAGATAGAAATGTCTTCTGATAGGTTGTATTTTGCCACTGAGGAAAACACATAACCTTTTTTCTTTATGTAGTTGATTTTCTTTCTACAGACAATTCTGCTCCGAATTCTACACCAGCTGGAAACAGCTTAAATTTATTTGATGAGATATTAATTGAAGAAGGGACTGCAAAGGAGGCATCCTACAACGAGGTATGTCTTAATATGACAAAATCAATTCTGGTATTTTGAAGGTTTTTTGTTCTAAATTTTTTTTGTGTAAGGTGCCAAAAATGTTGTCAGTGTGCTCGCTTTTGGAAAAATAGAGAAACTGTTCTTAAATGAGTAAAACCAAGAGTATGCTAATAAACTGTTACATCCACAAGTTTATCAGAATAAGTGAATCTCTCACTCTGTGACATGTTCTGTTCTCATTTCACTGTCCTTGGCATATGGTTCATGTATTGGCTGCCTTATGGGAAAATGTACTGTAATTTCCTTCTAGTTAGAAATCTGTTCAGACATACGATACAAAGTTAGTCTTGAAATTTCTCCCAACAAATTTGCCAGACTAAAGCAGATAGGTCATGGATTAACCTTATCTGTCATTAAATCTTGTGCTTGAGACTGAAGACAGCCATGCACTAGATAACTGCTTCTAGTAAGTCAGAACAACACTTTCTGATCACATCACCTCATCAATTACTCATAGCATCACCTATCGTAATCCATAAGACACATCTCACCTAATTTGAGCTTTGGAGTAAAAGGGACACACACCCACAGGTATAATGCTCTATAGGAGAAGCAGGAGCAAAACTCCCAGCGCTTATTAAGTAGTTAAATTGTCACCTTGAAAGTTTGAAAGTAGTTGACTATTAAGTATGACAATAAGGAAGTTGTCAGTTCTTCTGTGAAAGTTTTCATGCAATGTACAACGAAGGTCTCATGCCAAATGTATTTAATTTGATTTTGTGATCACAACAAGAGTATGTCCTTTGCAGTCTGCTTTTGCAGTCCAGGCTTGTTTGTAGTAACTTGGGGGGGGGGGGAGAGAGGTGTCCTTATCTGTTTTTGACCACCAGGTCCCTATCTGTAGGGCTCCTGCTTCTTGATAATTGTGTCTTTAATTTCACAATAATATGGCTTCCTGTTACTTTCTAGGCTATTACTGTTGGGCAAGCACACATAGATTTCCTCTTATCTGAATGTTTGTGATGATCTAGAGACTTGTATAATTGTTAAGAGTATATTGATTCTTCTTTTAATATGGCTTTAATATGTTACTTTTGGAAAAAAGAAAAAAAAAAACAAAACAATCAAACCACCAAACAAAAACCTCCGTAATATACATTACTGTGTTAACTAACTAGATCTAGATGAGTAACTTTTCTGTGTAATTAAATCCACTTCTGTGCTCTGAACTCTTCTCTCTTTGACAGTTGCTGGTAGAATATGGAAAATGTCAGCAGCAAATAAAAGAGCTGATGAAAAAATTTAAGGAAATACAGACACAGGTACTGTAGCTCAAAGGGCAACATTGTCAAGATTTATGTAAAGCAAACCGAATATTGCTTTGAGAGTTAGTTTCATATGCTTTCCAGAATTGATCTATCGTATGCATACTTTGTAAAACACCTCTCTGTAGGTGCTAAGAGCTTGTTCTGCCTGGGGATACTTGCTAAGGTAGTCTACTGACAAAATCAGTAGGTAAATTCAGTTGTTTCGTGATGTTGCATGAAGTAAAGTTTAGTTCCTTAAAAGCTATCTTTTTATCTCCTTAAAAGCTATCTTTTTGTCTCCTTAATTAGAAAACAAGTATGTCAAATTAATAGTTATGAGAAAGGTATCCAGTTCTCTTTTTTGTTTGTTTGTTTTTTTAAAGTAGGTCTTTAACACACTATGGAGAGGGTTGCAAAGGTACCTGAGCAATTAGAAAGCAAAAGGTACTTTATTTATTAGAACTTGAAAAGCATGTCTGTGTTGCTTTAAGCATAGTGCTCTTTTGATAAGGCTGAACTGCTCTTCAGCTTGAGGTAGTATCCCCATGGTGTGCCATTCTATGTAGGTATATTGTCCTGGGCAATTGTGCAACGTGCTCTACTGTGTATTGCGGACAAGTCCCAAAGGTTCTGTGCTTCGCAGTGGGAAGCAGCTTCTGCCCTGAGCCACTTCCGTATTGTTTTCTACAAAACTTGTCTGCCTTTCTGAGCAGGCTTTGCTGAGGACAATTATTAAGAGAAGGGGCAAGCTCTCTAGGATTGACATGTAGGGTTCTGGAACGTCATATTTGGAAATTTTAGAATGATAGAGCACCCAAAGTTGGTTTTGATACCTTGAAAGAAATACAGTTATCCACTTTCTTTGAAAGTGCTTAAGAGCTACATCTTTCATTTGACACACTGATCATAAAAGCAATAAAGTAAATAAAAGAATGACACAGAGGGGCAGATTATAAATTTTTAGCTCTATGGTTATTTGGTTTATGGCATATTTCCATTTCAGTAAATTGTGTGTTTAAAACATCTTAAGCAATTACTAAGAACACAAACAAAAGCATAAAATACATTCTGACTTAATTCTAACTTCTTCAGAAAATTTTCTGTAAATTCTACTGTCAGTTGGCATATGATGGGAGTTTTTCTAATGGCTGTCTTATATTGATTTTCACTACGTATTTGGATACCCAGTCTAATTTTGGGGTTTTGTTTTTGGTTTGGTTTTGTTTTTAAATCTCTCTCCTTTCTCTCGCCCTTTTCTTTGTATCTATTTAAAATAGAACGTCATTCTACAGAATGAAAATCAAGCTCTCAAAAAGAATATTTCAGCACTTATTAAAACAGCAAGAGTGGAAATTAACCGTAAGGATGAAGAAATCAATAATCTCCATCAAAGGTACAAAGAGACAGTGGAACTGAAAAAGTACTTCTTTTTTTTTTTTTTCCTGTGTTTATATACTTGAAAGAAACTTCTGTGTGTATTTTAAGTGAAACTAGCAAAGAAAAAGGTTGCTTAATAAATAATTATTAGTACTGGTATAGTCAGAGGAAATAGGTAAGTATCTTCCTTGCTTGATGGGGTCTTTTGGTTTCTAATGAAAAAAAAGAGGAATCCAAAGGGTGACCATTGCCTGCCAGTCCATTCCTGGTGGGGTTATCTGACCATCTTCCATATTTCAAAGAATTAATCTTACACAGTTCAGCTTCAGAACTAGTCTGTTTTACGGTCTCAAACATGAATTCCATGGAACTTTTCACACACTAAATGAAATTAATAAAGAGACTATATAATGTTTTCAGTGCAAGAGATGAAAGCCCTGTCTCCAGTAGTGGGGGATAGCAGCTACGGAATTCTTGGTAATTTCTGTGCGCTACTAATCTTACTGCAGAGCGTTGAACGTATTTTAAGTATGGATGGGAGAGTAGCTGAGTGTAAGGTTTCTGAACAATTTGAAACCAGAGCAGGGGTCAAAGATTCAGGACCCCTAACTTATCACAAGGTCACCTGCTTGTCAATTTTGTGACATCAGCCACATATTTGGCTTGTTTGGGTTTCAGTTTGACCATATGATATGCACCAATAGGTGTCATACAGAAGCTTCATTTAACATTACTATGCTAAAGTCTAAATGTGCATTAACTAGGGGGGGGTGTTTTGTTTTGTTTTCCAAAATACAAGAAACTGACAGATCTGATCTGATGAAGGTCAAGAGGTTTTAAGGTGTAATTCTTTCAGTTGACTGGCTTTGACACAATAGTCATAATTTCACACCTTTGAGTGTAGTATTCTGGGTTTTAAATTACATTGAAAAATAATTCCTTGGTTTGTATACTCAACCTCACTAAAGAGTTTACAAACTCCATTTCAATACCTTCTGATGGTGATGAAAATTTATGAACAAGGTATTTGATCTAGGTATTTTGGAGGCATCAATCATGAAAATCCTGGGGAAAGTGGCACTTTGAGGTCCTAGAAGCACACCTTGTCTATTGCGTGGTCTATAATAGATTAGTTCATTTTAAGCAAACTGTCAATCTGTGAAGACTGTTTCTGAGGGGAATTGTTAGTGCTTATCTCAAAAACGAACAAACAAACAAAACCACCAAAAAACCAAACCCTAAGCCAAACTAAAAATCCCAAAGAACCCACATGGATACAATTATGTTCATCCCACATGTATTCATATTTCATAACTGGCCTAAAGCACAGCAAAATCTTATCAGTGTAATTCAGAATTAAACTGAAGTATAGGAAAGGGGTTTGGATTGTAACAGCTGCAGCATTGTTTTAGTTCAATATTCACTTCACATCACACTGTCACATTTTTGGAGTAGAACCAGTTGTATAAGCTGATTGTTCCATATTTCAATGTACTTCATCAGCCCATAGGAAGTGTTCAGTTTTATAAAGCAAAACCAACCCCATTTTGTATTTGAGATAAACACAGATTTATTATACACTTAAACTGATTCCTTACAACTGGACCAAATCAGTATAAAATGTCAGTCTAAAATCAAATGTCTGCGTGTAGTAGCCACTTCCTCCTTGACTCTCTAAAAAGGAGGCATGTGTCTGGTGGTTTGCTGCCATTGTTTGCTGGTGTTACTTTTACTTTTTATTTTTCCCTAAATCAGACACAATCAAAATCTTTTTTTTTTTTGTTGTGTGCTAATGGAAATTATTAAACTTCTATTTTTATTCAACTTTTTTTTTTTCAACTTTGAAGATGGAAGAAAGCATAAAATAATTTTAGATGTATGTGTTCATTGCAATTTGGCTTTAGTTACGTTTAAATGAATATAAAAGTAACATAACTTTTTTTCTTTCGATAAACAGGCTATCAGAATTTCCCAATCATCGTGGTTTCACCAGGACATACCTTTCAGGGTCAACTAGTGGGAGGTGCTCAGGGATGTGTAAAACTAAAGATTCCAAATTCAGATCTTCTGATTTAGGTGACAGTGTAAAGATGGAGCACAGAATGAAAAACGACTCTTCAAAAGATGCGCATCACAGTTACTCATCTCATAATATGGAAAATGGGAAGTCTAGCTCTGAAAAAAGAAACACTCCGTATTTACTGAGATACCCTCCTGAAGAACTCTGCAATGATGAGACTCATGTATGTCTTCCGAGCTATGACCATTGTTCCAACAAGGATAACAGAAAGGAAAAAAAAGAAATTAAAAGTAATGAACAGTACAGTAGGGGAAATATCAACAAGTACAAAAGAGAAGTACATCAGAGCACCAGAAACAATGGTGACAGTGACGACGGGAATTCGGATCCTCAGCAAAAGCTAAAAACCCTTTCAGAGAAGGCTAGTAAAAATGAGCTGCAACAAAAAAGTCAGAGTGTAAAACTCAAATGCAGTCCAAGTGTAGAAAGAAGAGTAGAAAGGGGTGTTTCTTCCTGGGAGAAACAAACTACTGATAAAGACAGGTTTCAAACAAGAGGTGAATTGTGTGTTGATGAGAGATCACAAAACGTATTAAGAAAGGATATTAAAACACATGAAAAAGATGAAAAAAATGCTGGCCAAAAAAATAAACCGAATGAAAAGCTACAAGAGCAGCTAAGGAGATCTGGTAGAGGGAACAGTCCACACTCAAAGAATGAACATTCAAAGAATCTTCATGAATCACGTAAATGTCGCATAGAGGAGTCTAGAAAAGGAAAAGACATTGACTGCAAGAGAGACAGGGGAACAAACGATCATACTTCTCGAGAAGGAAGGACTTCACCTTCTAATTCCAGCAGCAGAGAGCATAAATATGCACGATTGAAGGAAAATAGTAGTAGGTATGAATGGGAAACAGCACATTCCAAATCAGAAAGACACAGAACTGTAGAAAAAAGGAAAAGAGAGGATGAAAGTAGACATTTTAGAAATGAAAGAAAAGTTACAAAAGAGATAACTCACCAGTCTTTAAAAGAATCCAAGAAAGGTATGGATGTTACAAAAAGTGAGCGAAACAAGTCCTACAAGTCAGAAGAAACATCCAGAGTAGCAGATAGCTTAAAAGACCATAAAGTTCCCAAAACTAAAGATTTTGACACTGGGTCAAAAAGTAAAGACTTAAAACTTAGCTTTATGGAAAAACTAAATTTAACTCTTTCTCCTGCTAAGAAACAGTGTGTCTCTCCAACTGATGGAATTAAAACACCTTCCCAGAAGGCCACTCATGAGGGAAGTACAGAGCTCATGCTGCAGGCAGAACTCTTAGATTCTGCTCACCTTGTTAACTGTGGTCCCACAAAGCGAAGTAATTCAACACTGCAAGTTCTGGACAGTGCAGCCCAAAGCAGTGTGGTGCCAGCAATGCCTGTTCCTGTCAATTCTGAAAATGAAGCCTTAAAAGTAGCAGCAACAGATCCAGCACAGTCTGAAGAATTGCCAACAGTGGCAAGTAGTAAACTGAACTCGGAAACCTTACCAGAAGCAGAAGTGGTTCCGGTACAGCCCCGAGCCTTACCAAGACCAGCAGAGGTACTGGTTCCTGATGAGATGCAGGCTGAAACATTTGCAGAAGCAGCAGAAGCTTGTGATCTGGTTGAATCGGAAGCCTTGGCAGCAGCAGTGGCAGTGACAGATCTAAATCACCCTGAATCTTTGCCCCAAGAGGTGTCTGGGACCATGGCAGAGCCTGAAAACTGGTCTGTGACAGTGAGTGTGATGCAGAATGATAATGCACCACCAGCAGCAGAATTGGCACAACCTGAAGCTGCCAGTGAAAGTACAGGAGCCCTTCCGGAGTCAGGGGCAGAGAAGAAAGAAGAAGATAAAATAAGTCTAATTGCTGACATAGAAAGCTCAGCAGACCTATGTGGCTCTCCAAACCTTGTCTTGGATAACTCTGAAGCCAAAAGTTCTGGTGACCTGGAGTCCTGTGATGTCGCAGATGATATTAGTGAAACAAAAACAGACTCTTTAATGGAAGTAGTGAAAGACAATGACCACTTGGCTGCAGAAAATGCTGAGTGTCCCACTGATGAAAAGGGTATTTGCGAAATTGATAAGAATACATCTCAGTTACTTGACAGAACTATGTTAACTAATAAGGATGAGCCATTAGCTGACCAGAACGCTTGTGATCTGGAGCCAGACCTCGCTGAAATCAGTACTGAAGCATCTTCTGTTAGTGGAGAGACATATCCTAGAACTAAGGAGAGAGAAACTAACCCAGTTCCTCTTGATGATGACAGCTCAATACTGAGCATTGATCTCAACCACTTGAGGCATATTCCAAAGGCAATCAGCCCACTGAACAGTCCAATGCGCCCTTTGGCTAAAGCACTTAAGATGGAAAGTCCCTGCAAAGGTCTTGTGAAGAGTTATAACAAAGGTAGTATGTATGCATTTTGCAATTTCCGCATAAAGTCTTAGAAGATCTGTTCATGGAAAGCAGAAATGACTTTTAACTGCTTTCTTGAAAATACAAATTGCTTTCTAAGCTGTGTAAGTCTCAATGGTCCTTTTTATTTGTAGTGGAACCATTGAACAGCATAGTCAAGATCGTAACCAACTGACCATTAATGCTTTAAAAGTCAGTGTTTGTCACTACTGACAGATGAGAGGTTGAAATAAGAGTATATATACTAACTTCTAGAAAAATACATACAGGTTTCTTACTTGGGGTTAGTTCTGAGTAGATCTCATTAGATTTTTCTCTGATATTGTACAGGCAAAAGTTACTTAGTTCTTTCAAGTATTTATTTCTGAGAAAGCTGGAGGGAGTACATGAGAATTTCTAGGAATGTCAGCTAAGAGGAGGCTCTGTTCTCTATCTGCAGTCATTTCAGAGAGAATTTTTGTACGTATTTTATAATTCTGAGTCAGTGGCAAAAAAAAACCCAAATGGAACATTAGGATTTATCATTAATGAAGTAAGCCTACTCCTAAATAGGATGTCAGGGAGATAAAATATGTTAACAGCGCTCACAGGAAGAGAAAAGAGACGACTCAAAGTTAAAATCTTTTACTTGTGTGAATTTAACTTCCTGTATTGTCCTGCTGCAACTAATAAAAAGATTTCTTGGAAGTTAGATTTTCTACTAGAAGAGGAATGGTAGAGTGGCATTTAAATCCTTCTTATGTTTTGGAGTATAATCCTGATGTCTTTTTTCAAGTCTTAACGTGGTTTACTCTGGTATTCTCTCTTGTGCTTGAGACAGCTACTAGAAAAAATGACTCCTAGTGCTAAACCCAGGACACTCTCAAATGTGAATTCCTTTAGCAGTTTATATTTTATGCCTGCAGTGTTTCTATTCTTTGGAATATTTGAAGGAATATGAGAGCTTTAGGATCTGAGTAGGAGAGCATCAAGTCAAAGTAGTTTTTCAATTTTGTACTGTATCCGTGAGTTGCTTGTTAGAGTTCCTGTCCAGAACTTGCTGCTGTATTCCAAAGCAGTGATTTTTTTTCAGGTCTGATATTTCAGTTGTGAAGTTAGATGCTTAGTTTTCTTTGTAATTTCACTAAAGATATGCATGCCAAATGTTCTGCGTCTGTTAAATTGACAGGAGGCTATGGTTTCTCTTTGCCTTGAAATTCAGTACTTGCCATTTTACTGTTCTACAGGACAGGGGTACATATATTAATGCAGTATTTTTGACCATTTTCATTTTATGTTTTAGTTTGTCAAAATATTTAAGTAATTAGTTTGAGAAAGTATTGATCTTTGTAAAACGGAAATGGAGGCGGTGATGAGGATGTTTTTTGCTCTTGTATAATCTGTATAAACATTTTCAGAGGTTGCTTTAAAGTGTTAATCACAAGTTCATTGTTTATGGAGATCAATTTGGATATGATCTTTTATGAGATTAAATTTTTGTTAGAGGTCATTAAGCAGTCTAATACTGCGTGATTGAACAGAAGAGTGTTTTTATTAACTAGAGTGCAGGGCAAGTCTAAAATAAACTGCAAATCTCATTAATCAATACACGTGCTTCAGTGGCATTTTTGTACAATGGAAATGAGCTTGGCTTTTCATCTTTTGTAACATGCTGCTTCATAGCCAGCTGTAACTTATTATTCTTAAGAAAATAGCATTCGCTTTGAATTTTAAATAATGATTAAATACATATTTAATGATATCTCAGAAATATAAAACATTTAATAAACTTATTTATGAGGCAGAGTAAGGCATGCTACATTTGGCAGAACTTTAGCCTTTCCTCTCACTTAATTTTATTCCTGTCATTCAGCGACCTGAACTTTTGACTTTCCCCAAAATTTCTAAGAAAAAGGGTTTTTATGCCGTTGTGCTCAGTCGCAGTGCTGGTAATCTTAAATTCATCAAACCCTGAAGTTTGTCATGTGTGTAGTGCCGAGTACTCTTTTTTTGTTTAGTTTGTCAGTTTATTGAAAGATTTGAAGAATCTTTTTGTCAACCTGGAAGAGATAGTTGAATGCAGTGTTAGCAGGTCATTTATTCTTCTGATCTTGGTTTTGTTGTGAAACTGTTAAAAGAAAAGCCACCTGTTGTGTGTAAATGGTAGTCCATAAGTTAAAATTAAGCTTGTTCAGTGTTCAGAAAGCTTGTTAAAGTAAATGGCAGAGAGTTCAAAACTGGTGGAAACTGCTAGATTTTTCTGTCTTCAATGGCTGTATTTGTGAAAGAGATCACATGGTTTTTGGTGAAATGTTGAGGTCTTATTTGCCCTTTGAAGCATAGAAAAAATATTTAAACCAGCAGTTGCTGAAGCAAACCACACAGACTTGTTATAGCTCAAACTTCCTGTGTCGTTGTTGGCAGTTTCAAACAGTTCTGAATGGTTGCTTTACAGAAGAGACAAGGATTTTCTGAAAATATCTGTTTATCATTACATTCTTTGTGGTGATTAGGAAACTCTTTTCTTTTTATAGATTTAATTCCTGAAAGTGCGGTTGTTGTCTGTCCCTCAAAGAATTTGTCAAAGGAGGTAAACAAAGAAAATCAAAAGCCAGTTAACATGTCTGATGAACACTGTGAGATGGAGTCCCAGATGAGTATCTCTTCAGATGAAATAGAAGAAGGAGAAATCATAAGTAGTGATGAAGAGGAAGAGAAAGCTAAACCAGAAAGAGGCTCTGAAAATACAAAAAAGTCAAGACCAAAAGCTTCTCCTGAGACACGGAATTTGACCAGCAGTCCACAAAATCAAAAGAGCAAAGCTGTGCGTTGCACGGAAGATAATGGAAAATTTGTTTCTGTGAAAGTAAGTACAAAGAAGAACAGAGAGAAGAATAAAAATCAGACTCTCAGATCTTCAAAAGATATGAAGAAAAATAAAACTGTGAGCATTGCTTGTCTTGAAAAAATAGTGCATGTTATTCTTGAACCTTCAAATATACAAGAAATCATGCAGATGTTAAGAGCTATACGAAAACAGATGAGGAAAAGTTATATGAAGTTCAAGGTACAGTTCCCAGTTCAGCATTTTCACAGAATTATAGAATCCGGTATCATAAATTTTACATCGTTAATAAAATACTTGAACTTTTCTAAGATGTCTACAGTAGGTGAAACATTAAAATTGAACATCTGTGATATTGTTGAGTCCAAATTGAAGCAAGTTAAAAAGAATGCAATAGTGGACCGTCTTTTTGAACAGCAAGTATCAGATATGAAAAAACAGTTGTGGAAATTTGTAGATGAACAGCTTGATTACTTATTTGAAAAGATAAGGAGGATTATAATAAAACTATGTGATGTGAGACATGTGGGAAATGAGAGCGAGGAAAGGAAGTTTGAAAGAGTGGGAAAGCAAAAACACAAGATCAGTCATAAAAATGATATGCAAAGGTCTAGAAAAAAGTCTCTGAAAGTCCAACCTCAAAAGCCTGAAGAATATATCCTTTCAAAGCAAAATGTGGATTATCAGCGAGCTAAGTGTCACCATGAGAAAAATAAAACAGATGTGCCAAAACCTGCCTTTACAAAATGTCTCAACTCCATTGATAACACGAGGAATTCCCAAACCAAAGTGCACCTCTCTAAAGAGAATAATTTGCAAGGCCCTCTCACTCCACTGAAGGGTGTGAAATATGAAAAGGAAGGATTGCAGCTATCCAGAGATGCTAACAAGACTGATCTTAGTTATGAGCTTCTCACAGAACAACAAGCATCCAGTCTTACATTTAATCTTGTAAGTGATGCTCAAATGGGTGAAATTTTCAAAAGTTTATTGCAAGGTTCTGATCTCTTGGAAAAAAATGGTAGCAATATTGACAGAAACGAGTGGGAATTCAGGACTCCAGAAAAACAGTTTTTAGATGGTCATAAATGTAGAAGTAATGTTGCTGAACTGGTGCAAGAGATTGTTCCAAAGGAGGCTTGTGCAGAACCTCAACCACTCGATATTAAGTGGCCTGTTATTTCACCTGTAAGAGCTCCCTCTTTAACATCTAGGCTTCAGATGTCTGTTGATCCTAATGTACTAGATGAAAGCTGTATGCTTGAGGTTCCTACAAATGCAGCTTCATGCAAAGAAGATGAATGTAATTTACAAAAGAATAAGTCATTTGTTTCTTCAATCCTCCTTGAAGATTTGGCTGTTTCCTTAACTATTCCATCACCTTTGAAATCAGATTCTCACCTCAGCTTCCTAAAACCTGAGAATAATTCTAGCTCAACTCCTGAGGGTGTTCTCAGTGCACATTACAGTGAAGATGCGCTTCTGGAAGAGGAGGATGCCACTGAACAAGACATTCACTTGGCCTTAGAATCTGATAACTCGAGCAGTAAATCGAGTTGTTCATCATCATGGACGAGTCGGCCTGTTGCTCCTGGTTTTCAGTGTCGTCCCAGCCTGCCGATGCAAGCAGTAATCATGGAGAAATCCAATGATCATTTTATTGTAAAGATCAGGCGTGCAGTGCCATCTATCTCACCGGCATCTGATCGGGTGGTTTCAGTGAAGGAGGTGCGAGCATCTTCAACCAAGATTGAAAAACAAGAAATAAGAAGTGGGGAAAAAGAAAGGGACAGTCAGAGTACCACAGTAGCTGTTGTGCAAGAAAGTGTCAAACCAGATCTGGTTAAGATGGATCAGTTGCGTCATGTCAGCACTGAACAAGAGCAAAATCCTGCCTTACCTCAGCTTCTAAAGGAGTCTCATAGCAGTATTGGAAAGGAGGAAACCACTGAGAGTCTGGGACCCTGTACAATATCTTCAAACACAGAGAGCCATGACACTGAAAGCACAAATGAAGGATCTGAACAATCTCAGGCACTCAAATTGAAAGTATCTGAAAATGTAAATGAAATGGGTGTTAGATCTCAAGGTTCTTTTCCTTATTCCTGCAGTATAGAGTCATACATAGACTTAACAGATGATATGGTTAGTGAAACTTCATGTGTGGTGGAATCCACTAGAGGTAACAGGACTCAGGAAACCTCTACCAGAAACTTGGAAATTAGTGTTAAAAAGGAAGAACTGGAAGAGTGCTCTGATGCATTTATAGACTTAACAGAAGACCTTTCCAATGAGACTGTAGCAGGTAAATGTAATCTTGAAACACAATCCACTTCCAGTACTGGGGTAGGATGCCAGATAAGTAGAGATGATAAAACTAGCAAAAAAAGGAAAAAGGAGGCTGTCAGAGAGAATTTCAACTCAAAAAGGCAACGAAAAGAAACTGAATCAGCAGTTGAAGGGAGCGATGCGAGTGATGTAAAGCCTGAAGAGGTAAATTCAGCACCTAAACAATGTTCCAGTAAGAAGAATGAATTGCAGCAGCACAAAGACTCTTCTCCTTTGGCTTCATCTGCATCATCACCTAGTCTGTATGCCAAAAACATCATTAAAAAGAAGGGAGAAGTAGTAGTTTCCTGGACAAGGTAATTTATGATTTGATCTGTTTGATTGTTCTAGCGTTTGGTGTGTTCTTTTTTTTTTTTTAAACTATGTGATAAACCAAAAAGTGAGAAGGAAAGGATATTTAGCTAATGGCTGAAGTTATTCAGTAGCTCTACATCCTTCTGTTGGATAGTGGAGTGTGAGCTGCCTCGTGTTTGTGCAGGGTGGCTTTATGAGATTGTCTTCTCTTAGAGTACCACTAAAAGGTGCCAAAGACTATTTTATCTTTTTTTCTGTAACGGTTGTCCAGGGGAAAATAAATTTAAGAGATGAAAGATGGTTTGATGTAATCCTGTTAACAGCCTTTGGACAAGAACAATTTTTAGTCATTTCTTAGGTAGGTTAAATCAGATTTGCCTTAAAGAAGGTGGCTTCCATATGTCATAACTAATTCCATCACTTACCCAGATTTCCCAAAACATGATTACTTTTTTGTTTTGTTTTTAAAGCTTATATGCTAAGGTAACAAGACCTACTATATTGCGCTGTCTGTGGGTTTCATTCCCCTGCCCATTTTCTTTCCTGTGCAAGAAGACCAGCTAGGCATGGTAGGTCCGACAAGGACCTGATGTTCCTACAAGGCCTGGAAGCATCAGTGACTTGGTAATGGAGAACAGTTTAAGATTTTTTCACTCTTGAGAGAAGGCATGAGAGCAAACAGTTTTCTCTTTTGGGGCCTATACTGGTCGATCTGCAGAAGTGTACTAGGCAACCATTCAGCCCCCGTATTCCAGTTAGTATGGTGTGGGTAACAAATGAAGTGACTGTACATGTTGGAGATACCTGCAAAGCTATTGTGGTTTATTTTTATCCTCAAGAAACTATAGTTAGGTTTTGCTGCTCTTGCTACAACTTGATACAATCATCACTTTAGAAAGGGGCTTCTAAAATTTTCAGCACAGAATTTCCTAAACTGTAGTTCGAACTCGTGTTCTGTAGTTTGGAAATACTTAGAATTTTATATATGCTGTATGGTTTGGTTGGTTGGTTTGTGTTCATGTATATATGTATTAATATTTAAAAAATGCATTTTTGCTATAGAAATAATGACAGAGGAATTTTACTGGGCTGCCAGATACAAATGTTTCTAGGTAGCATCCTAAAAGAAAGCAAATTCCTTCATGGAAAAAACTGTGAAAGCTAATATGATTTTTGATATGCAAACCAATGAGGTAGGAAAATTGTAATAATCTTCTTCTGAAGAATATGGCCGAGTTTTCTGGCTTGGTCTTTGTCCACCTTTGAACTATGTCTAAAAAAAATAAAAATGTTTATTTCAATAAGTAGTCGTTATATATTTTCTTTGAAATGGAGGAATTTCAATAGAGTTTAATAGCATCTGGCAGATTTCAACCAAAGATACATAGTAGCTGCTGTATAATAACTCTGTCTGTATACATCTTACATATACTTAAATTCATTAATGAGACAGCAAACTGGTGACACATTTAAAAACAGGATCCTGGTCCTTTATGCTCATGTGAACATGTGCTCTGAGTGTATTTGTTATATTGAGTCTCCTACAGAAGTCAAACACCTCTCTGTTTAATCATGAATGTCAGTGGGCTTTAGGTGACAGTGCTACCTAGCCATGCAAACTGAGGCAAGTCCACCTAGAACTACTGGCCCCTGTTGAGTTTATGTATTCTTTTCAAGTTTTAATGTCTGCTTTAAAAGCTTAAAACTCTTTTTTGGTTACTTTGGTTTTGGACTAACTCTACTATAATAATCCTGCCCTTCCTAAAAGGGGTAGCATAATCTCCACTAGCATTTCTTTGTACTAACTCTCTTAATCTGTGATGGTAGAGAAGATCCTCCATAAGATCGTTGCTGCTGTTTGAACTCAGGTTCTGTAGTTTGGAAATATTTAGAATTTTATATATGCCTTATGTATTTTTTGTTTGTGTGCATGTACACATATATATGTATTAATATTTAAAAAATGCATTTTTGCCATAGAAATGATGACCGAGAAATTTTACTGGAATGCCAGAGAAAAGGACCATCAGGCAAAACCTTTGTTTCCTTAGCCACTAGGCTGAACAAAAGCCCAAATCAGGTAGGTGCTATCATTCTTAGAATTGATAGACTATGCTGCTATGTTTGTGGTTGCAGTTGAACAAAAAACCTCAGAGATCTACTAATTTTGAGTTGTTTTTTCCTTACGCCTTTTGTTGAGGGTTTTTTGAAAAAAAAACCTTATTCTTCTATTCATAACTTATTAAAAATATGCAGTATAGGGGTATTATGGTCTAGGGATTCTTTAGTACCTGTTTGATTGGTGCCTTAAAACTGCTGTGTCCAGTCATAAGCTAGGGACCACAGGATTGTTTCTTTTGTTGAATCAGCACTTAAAGAAAGGCATTTTGGAGGTGCCCCAAAGCCTTTGCTTAAAACTAGCACTGGAAAAAAAAATACCAGGATTTTGCAGAAAGGACATCTTTCATTACTATTTTTTTCTTTTACTTTGTAATTAAGAAACTTCAGAAGGCACAGATGTCAAGTTGGTGTAGAGAATTTCCAGAGGTTTACATATAACTTTGTACTTGTCTTGAATTGCTGTTTTAATCTCTATCCTACAAATCCAAGAAAGGTTAGGAAATCCTGTGTGCTCAGGATTTGGCTTTTAGGAAGTTGTGTTCCATGGTTACAGAGTCTTCAAGGGGTTTAGAAGCTGTTGGGTTGGCTGGTTGGATAAAGCAGCATTATCTGTACATTTGTGTCACTCTTCCCAGTTGGTTGGCTATTTGGCAAATGGTAGATATGCTATAGCAATACATATATAGCAGTAAGAGATACTAGCTTATGATTGATCAAGCTCTCTATGTAAGCTGTTGCTATGTTCAGCAAAAAGATGCTTGACTCTCATCTACAGACCACTTCTGTAAAATTCCAGGTAGGCAGACACCTCATGATGAGCCATAAATAGCAACAGCTGGACCAGAGAGTAGAAATAAACAATAAACTGTGCTTTTTGTGGAGTACAAAATAACGTTTTGTCCTTAATTTGAATTTGGCTCACAGTTATACCTGACAGAATTCAAGTCTAATTGACTTAGAAGCCCTCATTTTTTTCCCTCCTATGTTGTAAACCAGTCCCTCCTGTGTTAAAACAGTATTTGGCTCTAGTTGTGATGCATGTGGAGGCTATTTCAGATGTCAAAGGTACAGAAGGACTTCCTACATTTAAGTAACCTGTTGATGGTGCTCCTAAAATTCTCCTGGTAAAATTTATTGGAAGCAAAGACCAAAATAATGATTGTCTTAAGAACTTCGTGCTGTCAGATTAGTTTGTCTTGGCAGTTATGGAAATCTGGGGCTGTAATGATATGTCTCTTCCTTTCTTCTCCATTAGGTTTCAGAAAGATTCAAGCAGTTAATGAAGCTATTCAAGAAATCCAAGTGCAAGTAAACTTAACACGAAGTTACTTCATGGTTACAGGGTTTAGCTGTTACCAGCAACAACAGACTACAACCACTACATTCATGTAATGGGATTAGTGGGAGGTAACGAGGTCAGAATACCAAGCTTGGTAAATCTGATGCACTTGATTATTTACTTCCCTGTCCATGTTTCCTCTAAAGTGCTTTATCAGAATAGCACAGAAGGAACTTCACAAAGAAACTGTCTAGAAAAGAATGGGCACATACAAATGGAGCACTATCATTTCAAGGGGGTGACATCTCCTGTTGGTTAAATATGTTTTATAAATAATGACAAGGGCGTGCTGTCAAGTGGAAACAGTGGCTCGTGCTTAACTTATTGGAAGTACTGCATGTGGTGACTTTGAACTATAATTTTAAAAAGTAAGTGTGCTTTGGAATCCAATTGGTATTCCTGGAAAATGACTAGTATGTCACCTTGGTCACATTGAAACAAATTTTAGGAAGTTAGGCCTTTTAAAGGCAGCAGAGCAATGATGATAATGATTCCGTAAGATGCTTACGTAGTAACTGCATTCTGATGTTAAGGAATAGGTGGTTCTTGCTGCTTTCTCAGCAGCTTGTAGTGGGTTACAAGGAGCGAATCTGGCACTGTGCGTAGGGTTTGTCTTCGATCTTAAGCACATTATCATCTACAACAAACTGTAGTTAAAAACATTTTTCAGTTCTGATGGTATTTTAAAATAATTTTGGGTTGGGTTTTTTTTCCCATGAATAAGGTATTTTTCTTTGCAAAAGGCAAATATGTTTTTGTGTTCCAAATTACATCTGGGAATGGTACTTAATTTAGGTCTTCAACATAATAAGTGCTCTATTTTTGTTTTAAAAAAATAAAAATTGACAAATGATTTTCCTTTTAAACTTAATTTAGAAACAGACCTTTGCAGTTTTATAAAATGTGACTTTATACTTTCTAACCAGGAGAAAAACTTTTTTGTAAAAACAAGCAGTTTCAAAATCTTGTCAACTTGGCATGTTTTGACAGCAATTGTATCTCATCTTTGCAAATTGTTTATTACATTAGAAATTCACTATGTTCTATTTTAAAGAACTCTTATGATTGCTTCCAGTTTTACTAGCACGTAGTAAAAGTGTGTATGTATACATATGTATACACACACTTCTCATTTGCTGCTTTATCCTATATTTCTAAAAAAGCCTTGGGGTTGTTTATTTTTTAATTCTCTCTAAGAAACATTCCTGGACGTTGCACAGGTTTTCCTGTTCTGAATTTGTTGATGTTTGAGGTTTTATTCTTTATTGAGGATCAAAATTGCTGTCATCTTTAGTCAGTCAGAACATCTGCTGAGTTATTTAAATTTCATCTAAGAGCCCTACCAAAGTGCATTGCCTTTCAACTTGAATTAAATTAGCTTTTTGATGGAATCCAATGACCGCAGCTTCAGTTTCAACATAATGGCTTTTTGCTCCCTTCCCAGCTAACAGGACAGAGTTCTTATTCTAATAAAACATCAGATAATCGGTTGGTGATGTTGCCACTGACACCTTTGGAGTATTGTAAATGTGACCTATGGAATGGATTGTCAAGCTGCCAAACAGTGCATCATCCTCATTTTAGGCAGTGCTCTGGAAACTTACAATGAATGACTAGAGTAGGCAATGATGTCAGTTCTGGCAGTCTTCCATCTTATGTACTTGCTTCTAAAACATTTGCTTTTGATGATCAAATATCATATTCCATGCTACACCAGAAGCATCTAGTGTTATCAGTGGGTGATTGGTATCCCCTACCCGTGCTTGTTCTTAACGTTGGTGACAGTTATTTACTCAGTGGAGAATTAAATCTAACCGAAGCTGTTCTCACAACTGCCAGTTGGCAGAGTAGCTTTCATGTTTGTGGAAAACCAGACTCTACTGAGTGTTTTAATCACATCCTTAGAGATCAAAGTGTGCACTGTACTGAAGGCACTGAGGAAGTAGCCTCACTCCACTCAAGCGCTTCCTCTTTGTCTCAAAAAAGCAGGCAGTATTTTATTGCAAAGTTGTTTCTTCCTTGTCTGTTTATTTACTTTCTTATCTGTACAGGTGATGGGGGAGGCCTGGGTTTGACTGGTTTGGTTCTGACTTGGATTCCTTTTTTGTAAGTTATGAAACTTTTTTTAAAAAGTTCTGTTGTAATTATGTGTACAGGTTCCTAATGTAAAATATCTCATGGGTGTATATATATATGTATAAATATATGTATAAATATATGTATAAAAATAGAGCTTTGTTTAGCCAAAGATGATTTTTTTAACTACATAAAGTTCCAGGTTTATTTTGTATAAACTACATAGTTTGCTTACTGTAAGAGTGATGCAAAGAATAAAACTGTAAAATTCACACATCTGTGCCCTTGTTGAACAATGGTTGGCTTGGACTGGTTTTGTACTGTTGTTTGTAATTTATTTCTCCAAGAAGACTTTTGATACATATATGCAAAATGTACTGTATGTAAATCTACAGACTTACTTGTGAAACCTCAGGTAAATGAAAACATCTAGAATGGTTGGTTAATGCCTTGACAACTACAAATGCTGTGAAGCGGCATTAAAATGGACTTCGGCTAGTTTGTATAAATGAGTAGCTTTGTTGATATTCCAGCCAATAAACACGGAAGTAAATCAGCTGCTGCTCTGATGCTGTTACTGCTCCAAACACATACTGCTTGTTTCTTACTGGACATGACTGGATCAGAAATCAGGCAATTTAACAAACTATATAAACCCTTTAAACTACTCAGGAATTAGATCATACAACTTTCCTTTTTTTTTTTTTTATAGGATCATTGGGTTAGTGTTGAGTGCTGTATTACAAAGGAGAAAGACCTTTTGTATCCAAAGCTTTTCATTGGAAGAGTGTAGCTGGCAGCCCTTTGAGAGGCTTAGTTATTGCTGAAGAATAGGTCTGCTTCTGTCCACCACACATATTTCTACAGGATTCAGACTAAAAACTCTTAGTAGACATGAGTATTAGAAAACTTTCTAGGTGGGAATTCAAGGAGCAGGGTTTATGGAGATGTGCATAACAGTGAAATTGTAAAGCATTGGGTATTGATTTTTGAGAGATTCTCTCAGAGACATAGCCTGTTGCCAGCTGTCTACATAAAATAGTTGACTGGACTAAAGGCATTTCTCTTCAGTGTCAATGCAGCAACCCATAGCTATTTCCATTAAGTCTTTCCTCTAATTGTCTTCACTCTAAAACCAGCTGCAGAATAGTCTCTAGCAATTTGCCTTCATATAGGGAGGCAGCAGTAATAAAGCATGCCAAGAGCAGATTTCAGGACTTCTTGGAAGAATCAATCAAGGGGCACTGCAGGAGCAAAATTGGCTTTGATGGGGAAGATGGATAAAGTTTCAGTGATGTCTGGTACATACATCCTCTCCCATCAGAGTCTGACAGTACAATGCTGTGCCACTAAAAACAACCCCATCTCAGTCTTTAGGAAGAAGAGCCTGAAGTGGAAGTTGGTCACAACCTTATAGGATGGAAGCGCCAAAAGACCAGAAGAGAGAAAAAAGAAAAAACATATTTGGGATTCCCATAAAATTTAAGCCTAGGCAGGGCTAGGCAGCAGAAGCTCTCATTATCAGAACCTCAGCTCCAGCGGCCCCAATTTCTCACAAAATCCCATTTTGGTAACTCACCTTTTTTAAACTTTGTGCCTCAGAGATACCAGTTCTGAAGGGACTTTAGGTGGCTCTTTAACCCAGCTGAAGAAAGGTGACTGTGTCAAAAGTCTGTGTTTCTGTCTGAAGACTTGAGTCTCGGTTCCTGTGGCCTCCTTTTCAAAGACTCAGTCTAGCACATCCTAAATTAACTCACCAGGCAACAGAGTATGAAATCGGACATGACCGATCGATCCTTGGGCATTGATTCAAAGCAAAACTAATGGAATGTAAAGAAAATGTAAGAATCTATCGTGCCGTAAAGGCTGCCTATTTAGCCATTTTGTAAAATAAAATGTCATTTGGGAGCTGGGTGGAGGTGTAATTTTTGAAGCACCAACTAAAACAAGGCATAGGGACATTGCAAACTAGTGCTGTACAGCTTGAGCCTTGAGGGAATGGCTTTGTTAGATGCCACTGACTAAAATAATTGCATGGTAATTTTGGCTAGAGGCACCATCCTATCATCTGATGATTTTCAAACTGTGCATGGGTAGTTTGGGCTGAGTTATCCAGCTACAAAGATCCGAGAAGTCTGCTCAGCATACCACGTCTATGTTTTGGCTCTTGGGGAAAAAAAAATCGCGTGTTCTAGCGCTGTCGAAGGAAGGTATCTGAGCTACAGTAATCCGCAGCACTGAGTGCTCCGTCTGCAATGCTCTAAGACAGACTAACCAAGGACTTTCTCATAAGGTAAGTGGCAGAAAAATAATTCTTCCCAGGACAGTATGAAGCAGGCAGGTGCCTGTAAGACTTGAAGCAATGCAAATTAAATCCAGGAGGAGTTGATTTTAGCATTTAACTTTCTGTGACCAGATATATAACTTTTAACTCTGCTTTTTCAAACCTGGCATAAATTTAGGATAGAAGTAATTTGAACAGTGGCAAATAATCCAATGAACTTTAAAATAAAGAAGTAACAAAAGCAAGGAATAAAGAAACTTCTTCCAAGAGAAATAGTAGGTTTTCACCTGGTTCTAACTGATTACCTACATGCATTTTTATTGTTTGAAATAACTATATACAGCTGGACAGACGTGAAGCTAGTCAGTATAATGAAAAATGTCTTGGGTATGTACTATCTACACTAAAAATGATGTATTTTTAGTATACGAGAATTTGTAGTCTACTAATAGACAGGAACTAATGATGTAATTGATATTTGAATTACTCTCTTACAGTAAATAGCAATTACTCTGTTACACAGAATTCAAATAAGACCAGGGAAGGGGAAGATGGAAAAATTGGGCGCACATTGCTACGACAAGGTTGTAAATAAGTTTGGTTTCTTAGAAACTCCAGCTCTTTTGGCTCTAGGCAAACTACTTCAGTTTAGACACAACATTCACCATGTCAATATTTATACTGTGGTTCTACCAGTGTGGATATAAGGGAAAGTGTCTTAAAGAGTGAATCAAACCACTCCTATGATTACTTTTCCCTGTCAACTGTTACAAAGGAAAGCTGAGGGTAGAAATACTAGTAGAAACAAAAAACAAGTACCTGTAGAGCCAGAATGATATGTTTATCCTTCTCTTCCTGTCCTCTCATTACCCCTGATGGTCATAAGCATTTTCTGTTGCAGAATGGGAAGTGATAATTCCTACTACTAGAGGAATGATACCATTTCATCTCTGGGATTAAAACATGTCTGCTTTCCCAGTTATTCCTGCATTTATATTTTTCCATCTCACTTGGGTTTGTTTTTTGGTTTGTTTTGTCTTTGTTGGAGTAGTATCAGTTTCAGCAAGGGACCAGCCATTTGCAAAGCAGCCAATATGCCCAAAGCTCCTCTGGTTAACTGTTGTGTTGCCATCAGAAGTGGCACAAAGCAATCAGCGTCACTCACTTGTACTTGGCGTCTTGAGTACTCTGGCTTTGGGAGTTTGCTGCATGTCAGCCTCTACATCTTGCTTTACTGAAAGTGAACTCTTTTGTATCAGCACTTCCAAGCTTGAAAAATCGGGCTCAGCATTGTTAGCTGTAATGTTTTCCAGCAAGCATTTCAGCATATGAACATCTTTGCACTCATCCAAACCTATGACATTACAACAATTTATTTCTGCTCTGAATAAAATTCATAGGAAGTCAGAAAAGAGTTCTCACATTGATCTTTAAAAATGAGGAAAATTGACTACCATAGTTATGGGTGAGTTTTTTTTTCATGTATCTTATTTCAGTGGTACACAGGGGAGGAAAGGAGGGAGCAAAAAAGATGCTCCAGGTGCATCAGAGCACCTAGGAAAATTGTTTCGCTAGCTAGGCTTCCTCAGCCAGTTCCCTGTGTTAAAAAGGGAAGGTCATTGTGAAAATTCAAATCCCAGATATGTAATAATAGGGTCTGTAGGATGCCTGTGCAGAGAATGACTGCACTGTTGGTTACAACTCAGAATCTTTACACTCAGTGTGGTTAAACACATCCCCCAGGCAAAACTGTATGACATGGGATGGTATCATAAACCTTAATCAAGCTATATTGATATATGGTGATATCACCCAGCTGTACTGTCAATTAGAATTGTGCAAAATTTTGGGTGCTGCAGCCAGCCACTCTCAACAAAAGCTTAGAAAGTGCTTTTCACTAATGACTTTGTGGAATTTGGGAAGTTTTAAAAGTACAGTGGCAGAAAAAAAACAAGTGCAAACCCTAAAGTAGATATGATCCCAGTTGCTTCAATATTTTATTACCATGTTAGCAGAAAATATTCTAGGGACATAATATTGAATGTGCAGTGTATTCATAAATAGACAAATACCTCACATTTCAATTCCCTACATTACCTGAAACTCCCAAATAGTTTCCAGAGAAGCAGCATGGAAATCAAGCATCTGGCAGCAGCATCTGGCAGCAGAAGGTAGATCAATTTGCTGATGAATCAAAGAGATTCTGGGAAACACTCACAGCTAAAAAAGTCTGCATCACTCCATTGTGTAATCCCTGATTTATTTATCTCATATGTTAAAATTTATAGTCAAGACAAAGTCTTGGTGATTCAATAAGACTTTAAATGCATAAAATTAAAGCCATTAATCCTAGAAACACTCTTACTTTATTAATATTATCCTAGAACTGAGACTATACATGAACAGCTATCTGTAAATTAAACATCTATTTGTAGTTTTAGGAATCCAAGCAAGAAACCTGTGGTTTGTTAGAGGGGAAAATATTGGATGGATGGCACTAATGATGCTACTGCCTTGGGGTACAGAATGAAACAGTTTCCTCTCACAGTTATAGGATACTTCTCAAAACTTTTTCAAACAATTTATCAAAGCCATGAGCATTATACATAATGGCAAAACTAAGGCAAAGCCATAGTGGAATGGAGTGGGCGTAGAAAGATTGCAGCTGGTAAAGGGTTTGAAAAGTGAGAAAAATTGTCTTCTTTCCTAGTGGGAAGAAAATAGTGTAAAACTGTAGGCAGATACAAAGTACTGTGGTTTACAGCTGAAATCAATCTCTTTCATGCTTAGAATAATCTCATGTTTTCATTTTTCATTGGTAATCATGAAGTCTGCATTCAGTTAAAGACCTGGTAAGTAGAAAATAATGATGAACTTCTAAGAGCTCTCCTGCGATGAGAAGAATGTATATGAAAGGTGATTATTTATACAAAACAAAAAAAAACCAACCCTAAACAAAACTAATAAAAACCAACCCCAACCTCCCCCCCACCCAAAAAAAAAACCCAACCAAAAAACCCCCAACCATTAAAAAGGGGCATTTCATGGGAAATCCAGTATTGCATTAAAGTAGCATTTTGGGTTTTTTTGCATTCAGAGATGAACTTGTGACCATGGGCGACTGGAACCTGTTGGGCAGCATCCTTGAAGAAGTGCACATCCACTCTACCATAGTTGGCAAAATCTGGCTCACAATCCTGTTCATATTCCGGATGCTGGTGCTGGGAGTGGCTGCTGAAGATGTCTGGGATGATGAGCAGTCTGAGTTCATCTGCAACACAGAGCAACCTGGCTGCAACAATATCTGTTATGACCAGGCCTTCCCCATCTCTTTGATCAGATACTGGGTACTTCAGATCATATTTGTCTCTTCTCCATCACTAGTTTACATGGGTCATGCACTCTACAGGTTAAGGGCTCTCGAGAAAGAGCGACAGAAGAAGAAAGCCCACCTGCGGGCTCAGCTAGAAGACCTGGAGCCCATGCCCGAGGAGCACAGGAGAGTGGAGAGAGAACTGCGTAAGCTGGAGGAACAGAAGAAAGTGAATAAGGCACCCCTGAGAGGGTCCCTGCTGCGCACCTATGTCCTACATATCCTAACCCGATCTGTGGTCGAAGTGGGCTTTATGATAGGTCAGCATCTTTTATATGGGTTTCACATGCCCCCCCTTTACAAATGCACTCGGTCCCCTTGCCCTAACACGGTGGATTGTTTTGTGTCCCGACCAACAGAGAAGACCATCTTCATGGTCTTCATGAACAGCATCGCTGCTGTCTCCCTGTTCCTCAACCTCCTAGAAATCGCCCACCTGGGCCTCAAGAAGATCAAAAAGAGCCTCTACTGGCGTCCACCGAGACCGGAGGAGGAGGCCAGCCTCTGCAACTCCAAGAAGAGCTCCGTGGTGCAGCCAGCCTGCCTGGCCAGCAACGCCTCTCCTCCGCGGCCCGCCACAGCCCCGCCGCCCCCCATTGCTCCGGTTACTGCCGCTCCCGCGGGGCAGCCGGATGCTCCGCCGGGCCGCCAGGACCGCGGAGAGCTCCGCGGCGCCACGCCGACCCGCCGCCGGCACAGCGCGGGGCAGCACCACGGACAGCAGCCGCCGCCCTCCTCCAGCAGCGACGAGGCGTCGCGGGCACCCAGCGCGGGGGCCCTAGCTCGCAGGGCGCCCCGCAGGCACAGCCGGGGCAGCGGCTGCCGAGACCGCGATGAGGAGCGCGGAGAATCCCCAGACAGCGGGCACTGCCCGGGCACCCGCAACTCCAGCTTCCTCTCCCGCGTCCTCACCGGGAGCCGGGCAAGCAGCGACAGCGAGAGCGCCGCCTCCTGTGGAGACCCCAGCCCCGGCTCGGGCTCCGGCTCGGAGGGGAAGTGCCGGGAGAAGGACAGCCCGACCAGCAGCCCGCCGCCTGCCGCCGCCATGGGCCGCCGTGTGTCGATGGCAAGTAGAGCCCCGCGGCCCGAGGGGAAGCCCAAGGCGAGGGGGTGGCGGCGGACCCTGGGCAGGGGCTGGCGCCCCCGGCTCCATGTCCGGGCCCCGGGGAGGAGAGGGGAGACAGGGGGCAGGGAGGGTTGGGCTGCACTTCCGACCCTAACACGACACATCCTCTCGATCAACCCGAGTTCCCGCACGTTCTGTCCCCTTCTCTGGTGAGAGCAAAAGCATCACTAAGAAATGATTGAGTCCTGAGGATCATTAAGTCACCGAATCTGAGCTTCCTTATACTCAATACATCATCCCAATCAAATTCTGAGGACTGGCTCAGGGGAAACTTGTCCAGCTCCACTGACACTGTGAGAAAGAGGATCCTTGAGTACAGTGAGTGGTTAGAAGCAGAAGGCACTCTTACACATTGCTTATCAAAAAACTTCACTGGTTCCAGTTTTCATGGGGTTACAGTTTATGCAGTATATAGTCAGCATAAGCCATGTTAAATTGTCACTTTAGATGCAATTTAATCACTTTTTATGCCAGTGTCTCTAATACAGGGAGTCTATACAGTGTCTCTAATACAGGCTTAGAGTCCAATCTGTCTGATCTGCTGGTTGATACTCAGCTGAGAAGGCTCTTTAAAAAGGTGAAGTGTAAAAAGTTATTCAAGTAAGACAGAATTCCGGTAGCACCCTGCCGAGAACTCACAGAAGTTGCCTGGCAGCTTTTACTCTTTAATGACAACGATGGTATCTTCCAGGGCAGATCTTGCAGAGAGATGTAAGCTGTTCACAAAGCAGTGTCATTACTCTTGAAACTAACACTCTTCTGGCATGCTGCCTTTGCGGATCATGATGTATGGGACTGCTGCTAGCATTTTAAAATGATTCACGTGGGTATGCTCCCTATTGTTACCTGCTTACAGCACATGATATTTTAAAGTAAAGGTGTTTCTATATGCAACAGCGTCAAGATTTTGGCAAATCCACTATTCTGCTAGCATTGCTATGACACTTTATGAGTAGCAATTTCAATACACAAATATGCTAGTGCATCATAACAATATTGATTGTGGGCATTAAAACATTTATATCCTTCCAGTCTTTACTTCCTAAATTCCACATTTTATTTTGGTTGTAAAAGACACTCAGCATTGGTTTTATCTGTTTTAGTTTGACTTCCAGGAGACAATCATCATGTAGTAATATTCAGGTAAAAGAAAATATGGATGATTAGATTTATCTGCATGACAGGAGCATTCAAAAATTAGTGATTCTATATTAAAAAAAAAAAAGTACTTAAAAGGAATTGTATTTAAAAGGTTCCAACTGAAGCATACAAAAATTGTTATCTGCTACACCTGATCAACAGTGACTTGCAATAGTGCTGCAGAGAAAGGACAGATACTTTTTAACATAACGATGAATCTACATGCACGAATATTTTCTGAACAGCCAAAATACAGTCTGTTCTCACCTGGATCTCGCTAGTTTAACCTGCATAGCCAAATGGAGCAAAATCACAGTGGAATTGATACTGTTCTTCAATTTTCTTTGATAACTTTCCCAAACTATCATCTTTAGTTCCTTGCTGGTTTGAGTGTTTTCTTTTTCCCTTCTTCCATATCATTCTGCCAGAACTTGTCTGTAGCATTCCTTGCACTAGCTCAGTGAGAGAAGAGTATCAGATCAACATTAAAAATATAATTTCTATACCTCAACAACCATTCTAGGAACCTCCAAGCAAACACATACCCACACACTGTGCTAAGATAGCAGTACAACTGCAACTGCCCAGAGCCATCATAGCCTTCTTAGCTGAAAGAAAATCTTAAAGCTACACAAAATCAATCCATCTGATACTGCAAGAATATGAATACGGGTCAACCACACCCTGTGAATCATGGCATTGAAAGCACTGAACAGATTTAATAGTACAGCTATGGATGCTTGACTATCCGACATCGATGAAATCTTTTTGAGCAATATTACCAATTGCATTTCCACACCAAGCATGAGTCTCTAACAGACGAAGAATAATTTTTAGGGACAACTAGATGTTCTAAAAGTTACCTCTCATAACAAATTGCAATCTCTCAATCAGACCGTGAAGACTAGGTTGTGGATAGTACTTGACCAAGTCATGATCAAGGATTTTTTCTAAGGAAGTACAAAACTGCATCCCTCAGAGAGAACAGGAACTTCTTAGGACTTCCTTTTTGGAGGAAAAGTTACTTTGGACCCTTAAGAGAGAATGCATTCAGTCCTCCCTGTAAATCCTCATGAAACAGCTCAACAGGGTATTGAATACAAAATGCATGTTTGGCATGAGGATATCTCAACTTTTCAGACTTCAGAGTAGCTGTATATGTAACAGAAGAAATGCCCTTTCCATTGTTAGGATTCGTACAGACCAATCATGTTGGCACACAATGCAAACTTACAAACAAAGCTATTTAAAACCTCCTCATCTGGAATTGGTGGAGGTGAAGAGCCATTTCTTCATTTCATCTTCAGCCATGGCATAAAACCTTGAAAAAATTGTTTGTGCTTTGACAGTTTGATTTTACACCCAAACCACTCACTCTTCATACTCTGTTCAGATTCTCAGTCACTGCATTGTCCAAAGTTATCCGTTATTCAGATTGAGAAGGCAAAATGAAAGAGGCAGAAATCTTGTAACATTTCTTAGGCTAAAGGCTTCTCAAGAGGCTCTGATCCACTGGAAAAAAAAAACATCTTTTCCTTGAGCCACTGCTGGTCAAACGTTACATCTATTAGGTGCTGAGGACAGACCACCAAAACTGGACCTTTACTGCATCAGGGAAAGTACATGGCAAAGCACAGAAGGAGAGAGTCGCTGCATGGCATGGGCATAATTTCCAACTCATTTCAGTCCACCTAAACACAGTGACAAGAATATTGCTGGCAATGATGGTGAGATTATCTCAACTCGATGGGGACCTGGAATAAATAATGTTACAAAACTCTAACAGATGAATTCAGCATCTGTGTGTGGCTGAAAACAGGCTACCTGTAAGCCTCCAAAACCTTGGTACTGAGGAATGCAGTCAGCATGCTTCGAAGTGATAATCTGCTCACTGATAACTGTGTTTAGACTACTCATTTCCAAGGTTCACTTAGAGTATACATCTTAGAGAATATATGGTATCTTATCTTCTAACAGCTATTGCAGGTACACACATAGTTCTGCCCCAAGTTTTGCATATCTCTCCATATTTTAGCTTTTATTTAAGGGGAGATAGAGCTATGGAGCAAAAGGGCACCTTTTGCATGGTCCTAGGCTGCCAGCCTCCCTTAGGTGAGCAGGCCTTAAATGTCTGCTTTTCACACATGCATCAGTGAAAATTGCTGCTCTGAATTTAGTATAACTAGAATCACAAATGACAACTGGGAGTTGGATTCACAAAGGTCTGTAGGAATTATGCTGCTGTCAATAGGTTTCTGCACATGAATGACATCATAATGAGAAAAAAGCTTTACAATTTGCACCAGTCAGGCCCTTGACTGGTGCACAATACATTTCTAGGTCTGATAATATTAATAGCCAGTCAAAGGTCAGTACATAACTAGTACAGATATAATCTGTGCTCTCTTCAAAATAGGCAGGGCCAGGAATTACAGCCTGCAATAGGCATCTAGCTCTGGGAGCATTGCACTAAGGGGGTTGTCTCATTGAATTATGTGTGCAAGACAGTGTGAAGCCATTGGGACCATCGAATAACTCTTTTTCTCTCTGGGGAGATGAAAATAAGAGATCTGAGCACTCCTACTTAACAATTAGAGAGCAAAGTCACCCTTTGCCAGAATGAAGCAGCCTTCCTTGTCTGCCATTTTCTGCAAATCAAAGGAACGACTGCAGAGCACCAAAACGCTCAGCTGAGCATGGCCGCAGCTTGGCATTGCATCTTCAGGGTGTTACAGTGTCATCACAATTTGGTAGCTGAATGCAAACATTCCTGCAAAAGCGAGAGCCTCTGTAGTATTTCCTCACTAGCTGTGTTTGAAGTCTGAAGTCTTTTGTTAGCTGTGTCTCTCCCTGCCTTTCTAAAGCAAAGGACTCCAGTTGCATGCTACCTGAGCGTGTCCAGCATCAGTTCTTTTTGTTTAGTTTTCTAAATAATCCTCTAAACACTGTGAGATCTAACTTGGTTAACTGGGATTGGGAGTATTTACAGTAGATTGGTAACTCCTCTTATAAAGGCACCATCTTTCAGATGACTTGGAACCAGGTTATCACATCTGCATCCCAAGCCTAAACCTGCATTGAGAGATCTACTGTGCCAGTCCTCTTGCTAGAGCATCAAGGACATATCAAGAAGATGGGGAGACTTAACATTATTTTCATTGAGCCAAGATAATTTCCTGGAGTCGCAAAACAAAACTGAAAGTCATTAGGAGATTAATAATATTTTAACAATATTTTAGCTGAACCCCTCTCCTGGGAAACCAAAATGACTAGACCAAGATTTTCAGAAAGAATTAGTGCATTTTAGGCACTCCAGGTTATTTTTAATTTTTTTTTTCAAGGAGTGCTGAGCTTTCCTCAGCATTCCTCAATGCATTCCTCTATGCATTCCTTATTATTTAGCCCAGTCCTTTCAGTGTAATTTCTTTAAAGCCATATTTTTTGCCTACAAAGTTATCAATGTGTCTTTAAAAGCGAAGCCCCCTCTTAATGGTGAATGAGTGGGATAAAACTGAATGAAGCAGCTGGTAAAGCTGATACCCTCAGCTTACAGAATTGGACTGAGATAGGGCTGATTTTATTCATCTGCAGAAAAAAAAAGTCTCTGGGGCTGAAATCCTGGCTCTGCCAAATTTGGGGAAATACTGCAATCCACTGGGTTTGGTTTCCCTCACTGCATTGCTCTTTTATTCCTCTGTGGTGTTCAGTTCTTTTTCTACTTCTCAATTCTCCATTCAGCTTGGAGCCTTTTACCCAGTGGGAAAATAATCCACAGTGAGCAGGATATGAAAAAGAGAGCTGCTATGTCAGCCTGAATGCTTGCAGTCTTCTGCAGAACAAGGCATGTTTACTCGCCTTTTCAGCAACACTTGAGGAATAAATACCCACTCATTTAACTAGCTGCTCACTCGCTTTCACTCCTGGGGCTGGGAACAGTTTGATAAGAGTGAATGTACATTGAAATAACAAGCCTGATAACTGTGGAGGAGTTATTTAAACAGCTGAGCTTCACCTATAGGGAAATCTACATGTGGGGCAAGGGACTGGTAAAAGCCTGTGTTCCTCTGTTTGAGAATCCTTGAGGGTATTCGTGTTTACACCTGCTGGTAACTACTGCTGGTTTTGTAGAGTTTTATTCTGCAAATGCCTCTTTATATGTATGAGTTTGTTGTATTTATTCTGCCCTGGAGCATTCAGGAGAAGCTCGTGGTGATGACAGTGAGTGTATGAATTATCCTGCAGAAGCTAGGTGGTGACCCCAAAGGTAGCCATTTGCCAGTTGCACAAACAGATAAACTTTGGGGGTCAGCAGCAGTTGACAGCTAATGAGCCCTCTGAGGATTTGTGCAGCAACAAATGCATAGAGTGGATTTAGAAAGTGTAACTCACTTAATTGAATCCATCTTTGTATGATCTTAAAGCAATCAAAAATACACAACCCCCCTTAAATTGTAAAGCAAGGGCTCTAGGATGCATCCACTCTTTTCAAGCAAGTTACTGCAGGAGTTACATGTTTATTTTGGTTCCCTTCTGCCCACCCTCTCCTTAGCACTGAACACAGCCTGACAAGGTAAGTATGTTGTCAGCTAAACACCAGATTCCCACCTTCCGAATTATGTATGTGTTGGGGATAATTATAATGGTAACAATTATTTTTCTTCTCTAAGCCAACTCAGCTTCATGCTTTCTTTCTCTTGTTATCTTTCAGAGCATGCTCCTAGAACTATCATCTATCATGAAAAAGTAATTACATTCTAAGGAGAAGAAATAAACAAAGGGATTGAGCACAAACTGCCTTCAGCAGAGAGATAAAAACCAGGTTATCTGTTGCTATGTTCCCTTCTCCTGCCACTACAATGCTCAATTCGTAATACAGTTTCAGAAAGCAACCACTTTATTCCTCCATTTTGCAGCAATCCCAGCCATACCATACTCTGATTGCTGGTGTTCAGGTAGCTCATGCCACAGCTGAAGATTTTTCTCATGTAGACTGAACCAGACATGGTCAGTGTGTGCTGCCACTGCAGAAACAGCCTTGTGTCTCTGGGAGAACATTTTGAGATGTACAACTTGTTGTGCATGGTAGTAGTGTTCATATCAGAAACCAGCCTGATCCATAGACCTTCAAGGTAGCGTAAGACCCAAAGCACTTACAAGAAAGGGTTAGTTTGATTTGAAAGTAACCTGGAGGGCAGTGTGGCCTCTATCTCCCCTGGCTTCAGCAGCCAATGAATAAAAGATGGAAGAAACACTCATGGAATCTGAAGGGACAGAGAATTTGAGAGAGATGAAAAACAAACTGAAGAATATGCTGCTGCTCACCTGCCTGTGTTATGCAGCCCTCAAGCTCTGACGGAGTCTTTCCGTGCTAATGTGGCCTCCTCATAGCTAATACTCTCTGCTTCGAAACTGAAACAGTAAAATTGGGCAACTTATTTTAATTGCAGTATTTCTGTGCTTTTCAGTTTGCTGTTCAAGACGACCTGCAAGCTATCACTTCAGGGTCATGAAAATCTTATTCCCTTCACTGTCTCATATAGAGGAACTGAAAGACAAGCAAAGCCCAAAAGACCTCATCTTCAGTTTGCTTGGACAGACTAGCTCTGGAGGGCTGGATTTCTGGGTTGTATGTGGCCCAAGAAAGCAATCTTTCCACTAGTGTATCTGGAAAACAAAGCACCTTCCTCCGACTGTCCCTGACCCTGTTTCTGGCCACATGCTTTTGGCTGCTTTTATTTGTCAAGCTTATCATAGCTTGCATTTGCAATCACCTCAACAGCAAGTGATGCTTGGAACAAGCTCGTTTGCTATGCCAGTTTCCCCAAGCATAAAAATCCTCTTTGACTTGGCATCTTTAAAGCAAGGCTAGCAGAAAGCAGAAAAAACAGTCAAGCATAAAGATTGCATGAGATTACAGCGTTTTTGTTCTGGTGCACATGATCTACATTTATATCCTGCCTCACTACAAACTCGCTGACAGGTTGTGTGTGCATTTGTTTAGTATTTTAAGGCAAAAAAAAAAGGGGAAATACTTGAGATGGTGGCCATTAAGCACCAGCAACAACTGATCAGGGATGGAGAAACAGCTTTGCTAAAGTACATTCTCTACTGCCAGGCTATGTGTAGCTGTGGTGGATGCTATGTCTTCTGACAGATTTGAGGGGGTGGAAAGCTTTCTTCATATACTCTCAACAGGAAGATTCAGAAAACCGGGTAACTCTGGAAAGTTACATGTTTCAGTTTTGGAACTGAAAAATCACAGGCAACTTTCACTGCTGCAGATGGGGGACTGCACAACTCACATCCCGAAGGATGGTGGCCCAGGGCACGCGATCTAGGGTTTCCTGTCTGATGGTAAAAAAGCATAAGGACCTCCCTCTAGCAGCTTGCCTCCTCTCTGCTCCCACGGCAGCACCCCAGCAAATGTGTCGGCCTGGGTAGGACAAGTGGTCACGCCATTCCCCCCTTCCTAGGTCTCCTCCTGCCAGGCTGTTGAGCAGGCTCTCAGGTAGCATCCAACCCAAGGAGTGAGGTGGCTGCCATGTGTTTGGGAGTCCTACAGTCCCCCTGCTAGAGCCCACACCTTGCTTGTGGTAATAGCTCCTAAGGCTGTTACAATTTCTTCTTTTCTGCATCTTTTGCAGTATAAGTGATGCCAGTGGTCCATAGCACAAGTTCTTACTTCAGAGAGGAACTCTCCCATATTTGGGTTACACTCAGAGATTTTCAGCTGTATTTTGTTTCTGCAGAAACCTCTCAATTTCTCTCAGGTTTTCCGTAAAGGGGAAACACATCCCAACCCCTCCCCTTGCCTCCCAACATCTACAGAGGCACTTCAGAAGACCAAAACAAAGACTTAGCTGAATTGCCTTAAGTCAAGCACTAGGGGAGCGGGTACAAATACAGCTCCTTTGATCTTCCAGAATAACTTACTTCATCTTTGCAATTAAATACCCTCGGCTGTTCCTGCAGCAAATCAAAGATAACTGGATCCCTGGATCAAAGGTGAACAGTGAATTAGCAATGGGACCATGTGAGTGGAGACCTCCTCATCAGCCCAGAGATTCACTGAGCAGTATCAACCACATGCAACCTACTCTCCCAAATCTCATCTCCAACCCATGCGTTAACTGAGCACTGCAACATCAATTTCCGAGTCAAGAATAGTCGATTTACAATACATAATGATATGTCTTTATTTCATCAACAGAAATGGTGTCTAGACAAAATTCAGTTAACACTAGCAATTCAAATGAATGAAAAGGGTCGGATGGTTTTTTTTTCTTTTTTTTTTTTTTTTTTTGCACAATACTGTATTTACAATGAGTAAATGACATTTTAAATTCATTAGTTCATAGCAATGCTTTCTTCGAAAAAGGTAAAAATTCTTAGTAACAGAGAGTAAGCATCAACAGCCACCTCATTTATTTATACAATAAAAATCACAAGAAACCACAGTCACCTAGAAAAAAAATAAAGACAAGCTTAAGAACTAGTACAATAAAATGATGCATTGAATTAAGTTACATTAATCGCATAGAATTTGTGTAAAAAGTATGTAGAAAAAACACCTGATGTAACCTGTTACAGTCATTGACCAGTTATGAGAGGTACAGAGGGTTATACAGGTAGATATGTGTGAAAACTGTCCATACTGTTTGACCTGGGGAGGAAGAGAAGAGGGGTTGCACCCCCTTGCATACACTGATAAAACCCTGTTTTGAATATGGCCTCTGAAGTTTGTAAGGCATATATAAGAGGTGCACTTGTAACCAACTGGTTCTGGAACAAACTCTTAGGGCATCCCCACCCTTGAAATCAAAGGTGATGCTTCGAACTATGAGTAAACCATGCATTGAATATCACCAAAGTGTTTAGTATCATTCCTGCCGGTCTGAGGGATCCAGATAGCTTCAGGCAGAGCAAAGGCAGTAGTGAGAACAGGACTGAAACCATGCACGTTTCTCTCAGGTACATCTCAAAATCAGGGTAACGCCAGCCTGGGCTGGGGATCCCAGCCCCAGCCCCTTGTGTGGGGTAGCTGCTCCCTCCTCTGCCCACATTCCTGAGGGTGGGCTCCTTTGGTCGCAGGGACAAGCCCAGCTGAACACTGCAGTCCCCTCTCGGCTCCCTCCAAATGGAGGGGTTGCTTGGGTTCATAGCCTGGGCCCATCTCTGCTTCTAAGCAATCAATGAAATCAAACACTGCCAGTTGCCATTTCTATTTTAGGATGCTAGTTTCTTTCTGCATGCCCTTAATTAGGCAAAAGGGACAACAGTGTAACTGCATGAACCACACAGTGACTTTCGCCTACGGAAAGGGCTCTGCCCACAGTCACTAAAATTTGTACAAGAACAGGAGTCATCTAACAGGCTTTTTAGCAGTCGTTTGGTTGGGGTAATGACCTTATAAAAAGGTATTTTTAGCACTCCTTCCTGCCAAAAAGCGATCTTCTTTGCAAAAATGGCAACGTTATCTGCCTAATACCGCAAAATGCATATCAATATTTGACTTCGATATAAATAACACTTATCTTGGTGGAGTGTAGGAAAATACTGTACACTTAGACTTTGCAAGTAATGCCATTAAGATTTTTAGAAAAAGGGAATAATTATTCTACAGACCACCAACAATAGATCTTTTAAATATACACACAGTATTTGAACATATGCATATACACATATATTGTATTCTACAGCATCAGATCTGATGCCTGAGTCATTAAATACTCTGGGGAGTATTATAAATATACATATACGTATTCTAAACAGGAAAATACACAAACACACACTCTGACTAGAATTATAGATGTATGTATACATACATAAACATATTATATATATGATGTAAAATTAACTTGGACTGTGTTGGCAGAGACAAAACTGTAACGAAGTCAAAATCTGTTGAGAAATTTTCTAGCAGGAAAGAGAGCATAAGCTCTTTATGTTAATAGTTTTAGTTTCACCTCACTTCCGATAAAAATAAACCGCTCCATACTTAGCAGATCCCCTCCTTATGCAAAGCCATCAGCTCCACTGCTCATATTGAGCTAAACCTTCTTTCTCTAGGTGGCCCTAAAATAGAGAGAGACTTAAAATGCTGCAGCCATGGGCTACAACATTCACCCGGAGGCACCTCCAGATGCGTCTCAGACCAGAAAAAACAAGGTGAAGCAGTGCTCCTTGTTGCAATGGTAGAGGACATGAAGTGGAGCAAAACATGAGTTTCTCAAAACCTGGCAAACATTCACTTTGTCTCACTGCAAAATTCCCTACAGTCTCTATTCTGCAAACCCACCACTCTCTCTCTCTTCAACACCACAGCGGTGGATTACAAGACGCAAGTGAAGATGTGGTGCTGATTCTGGGATTGCAACGCTTCACCGTGCTTTCTCCTAGTGGATCAGGTTCAATTTTACTACAGGATTATAGTGATTCCAGCATGCAGATTTATTTATTAGGTAATCATAAAGTTACATGTTAAAAAATCTAACTCTATATCTAGGCATTTTAACTTCTATTTAAGCGCTCTTCAGAATACAGACTTGACAAAGTGTTGGACTCCAGATTAACAACCACGCTATCAGCATTAATTATTTCTCTGGCAGCAGTTAATCCATTTAGCAAAGTTATGTATCTAGTTCCCACTCCTTTTTAAAGAGAAGTAGCAGTTAGCATACTAATCACTGTGGCTTGCCTTTGCAGCACATTTTACTTCCTTGGGAAAAAAAAACATAATACAAGGATTAGATCCAAAAATATAGTGCATCTTAAAAGCAGCATATACCCTTAGAAAGACATTTAATAAATTACTTGTACAATATATAAAATAATAGTTTTATACTGCAGCATCAAACTCTGACGCCTGAGTCATTACATTAGGAAGTCTGTGATATAAATACCGGGATTTCCTGATAACACAGCCAACATTTTTGCTTTTGTTTTGCTTGTTTTCTTTTTTTTTTAGATTTTTTCCTTTTTTTCCCCACTACCTTTTTGTTCCAGAATCAGCTTGCATGAGCTTTAATTGTGTTCAAGGCACCCCTAGAGAACGCAGAGAAACAAACACATTATATAGTGTAGTACTCACCTGACAAAGCATAACAAGCCTAAATGAAATGAGGTTTCCTGGCAATACAAGTATAGCAATGGCAAAGGAAAAGGAGAACTAGATACAGACTGGACAAAGTTTCAAGGACTCATACAGCCATGAAAATGGTGCAGTGCCCAGCTGGGAAGATAGGGTCTCGCCATGCCATTCCCAAGCAATGCCCAACAGGACTGATGCTGTTTGACGAAAGCAAAGAGATTCTTACTGAAGATCATGGTGACCACTGGCCAAAGTCTTTAAAATCCATAAATACTACAGTCAGTTGGGTTTGTTTTCTTTCCAATAGTATTCTTGCTGTCAGTTTGTTTTGACCCCATGAGAAAAGAAGGGCTGGGTATGTGAACTGACGTCCAAGTCTGAAACTAATTCTCCCAGTGTATTCCTTTAACATTAGCCCAGTAACTGCTTAAAGAGCTGTGTGGTTTAGAATAGCAAAACAACCTCAAAACAAAAATAGAAACAAAAACCAACCACCACCACCACCACCACCAAAAAAAACCCACTGAAAACCATGATACATGTAAATATAGGAAGCAATGACACAAAACCAGCCACTTCTAATGGGAAAGAATGAAATCAAACATCCAGAAAAGCTCATGGGGGAGGGAAAGAGAGAGAGACAAGAGAAAGGTTGAGGAAGAGACACTTATTTGAGTAGTGGTTTTAAATATCAGTTCCCAAGGTAGAGGAAATCAAGAGACCCAGCACCAGTATGAAGCCAGGTCAAACCTAAGAGCTGCAGCGCAATGGGTTGTGTGGGTGGGTTTTTTAAACCGTTGGAATGAGGTCAAGAGTACCAGTTGCACATGAGTTGTTAGTAGAGTAAGTCTTCATGTCAGGAAGCAAGTTAAAACTCGGTTTTATACTCATGAAACATTCTATCTATTCATATATATAGGAGGTCACTTAAAAATAAAAAAGGCAACAGAAAAAACATCTTTAAAATACTGTGTCAGTTGACCCTTCCCTCCCACCCGCCCCCACCCCACCACCCCCCCAAGTAGCTATGACTATAATGTGATTCACATTTAGTTTTAAATTCTAGCTTTCACCATGGTCTCATAGAAACAAAACTTCTCTGCGAAGCACAGAACTGCTTTGCAACGTCAACGAATTCAAAGGAAAAATCAAATCCCTCCCGCACCACCAAGGAGCTTCTCAGTCAGTTACCTGCAAAAGATGGCTGGGAGAGGGTTCAGATATTTTTAGATTAAGCTCTTTTAAAAAGAAAGGACGACTCCTCCTCCTTTTTCAACTGTGTGAACTAGGAGTTTATGGCATTTGTATATTTTTGAACATTTAAAGGTAAGGATTTTGTACAGTAATGATTAATACTTAAACATAAATATTTTCCTACATTATATACTAGTTTTCCTTTGTACATGCGGGGAAAAAATGTATTTTCAACAAACATGGCACATGCTATATGCACTTCCTCCTCAGTAGCTTGGCTACAATAGTTTGGGTGAAGAGGATAAAAGCAAGACTTTGTGTCGAGTGGGCGACGGTCCATGAGCACAGTCTGAAGATGGAAGAAGTGGAGAGAGGGAGCTGATTCCTCCTCCAAGGTCAAGATGCTGATCTACTCAGTGCCGCAAAAAACCACCAGCGCACACCTCTAGTGTAAACGTTAGCACAGAAGACCACATTATCCTTTAGTGCTTCTGAGAAGCTGCTTCCCCACACTTGTTCTGTTTTTAATAGGTGTGAACAGCTGGTCATTTTTTTTCAGCGAGAACAAACAATATCAGCCAGTAAAGCACATGACAGTTGTTGTCGATAAAGCCACGCAACCTGGCACACGTAAGGCAAAGAATCACAAATTAAAAACTCAGTACACTTAGAATAATAATTATTTAAAAAGCATTAGGAAGATGTTTCTCTGTCTACACTGTACATACAGATGTTATGCTTGGAAAGCTGCTGTCTCATACAGTCATAACATGAGTCAACATTGCTTAAGATACAAATCCAATACAGTTACAACTAAGCCAATTCACTGAGTAGTCTCCTTCAAGACAGCATTCTTTTAACTGCGGTTTGAGCTGAGGGTAAATGCTGCAGGACGAGAGGATCTTGGAACACAAGAGTTTGATGGGCAAATGACCAAATCAGGTGTTGGCAGATGTATGTTTTGTTCTTGGAGGAGACAGTGCTAACTTGACTTCTGAAAGGAAACCAAAGTCAACAACTAAGGGTCTGGTCCTGCAACTATGCCTACCCAGGCAGGATTACTGACTTCACCAGACCCACCTCTGCAGCTTGGGTCTGGTGAGCAAAACAGGTAACATTTGAGGACAGCTGAGGTGAGGCTCTGGGGACTAGTCGGAGCAGCAGTTGCTTCCATGAGTAAAGGATGTAGAGCGGGGCTGGAGAAAAAGCCCCCTCCAAGTGTATTGATGTGATCTCTTTTTGCTTTACTTCGTGGAACGTATGATGAACTGATCCAGTTGTCAAATACCTTTTTCTCTAAAGAGTGAAATATACCTTCCCCTATAAGATTCCAAAAGCATCATTAACAGCACTTAAACTTGGTTTGTGAAACAGAAAGAAGTCTGAATATAAAAATAATTCAAGCAGATTCTCTTTACAAATTGTATAGTGAATTCAGTATTTGGCAAGACTGTTTTGACTACATAATGAGCTCCTGAGTGTTTGTCTATTAGCTAAAACTTTCCTATTTTCTTTAAGCCATAAAGCAAAGAAAACCATATACTCAAGTTATACTGAAGTCACAACTTCATTTATGAAAAGAGGTTTGACCAGAAACTCAGTGCAAGTGGCAAAGTTGACCATTACTGTACAGTATCTGCAAGAAAATAAAATAACTCCACATTGCTCAAGTGGCACAAAATGGCTGTGCCAAAAAAACTGTCTATAATAAAATCTCAAATAAGTTTCCAACATTAAAATTTTATAAATAAGTACAAATCGAATGATATTGCTGAACTGTGAACCGAGGAAAAAATTATCATGTAACAAGTTACCAAACTAGTTCTAGCATTGAAGACAAAAAGGAATGTTGGAACTTGTTTATACAATAGAAACGAAAGCTTCCAGTTTGTAGGATGAGAAAAATTGAGGCATGCAGGGACTTTTGCATATGGATATATATATTTTATATATATATTATATATAATATGTACAGTTTAGCTATAAAACTTTGATGTGTAAAGAAGCTGTCTTCAATGAAAAATTGAACATTCAGAGGAAATTCCTGAGTTAGGGTTTTGTGACATGGGCCACTGAGAAAAAAGCTGCGGTTGGGTCCTCAGAGGTGTTATGTCCATCCCTGTTAAGATTGAAATCAACATACAAAAACAGTGTTGCCACTGCTTTGTTCCCTGCCTGAGCAAGGGATAGCACCATTGTGAAGAGAACTCCTGCTTGTAGAGAGGAGGGAATACTTAAAAACAGTATTGCTGCTAAGACCACTGTAGTGTGCACCAAATACGTTCTTCTAGACAACAAATGAACACTGCCACTGGCTGACTGAAGAACACCTGACCAGGTGTAACATTAAGGTTACAAGTCACTAGGTGTAATCTTTCCTAGGTTGTTCATCTGTTGTACATTTATCAGTCATTTCCTGACAGAAGTCTACCGTGACCGTCTGGCTGCTCTGCTCTGCTGGAAGCTCTCTCTCGGGGTAAGTACCTGTGTCGGCTCCATCCAACCCCCCGCTGGCAGAACAATTCTCCGAGATGTTGTTGGGCAGCCAGGGTGCTCCCAGTTGCACCGAGCCTTGCTCCGAGCAGCACTGAATGCTTTCCCCAACGCACTGGGAGGTCACCAGGCTCTGCTCCACACCAGCTGGGGAGGCGCTGATGGTGGTCGCTGGCTGTAGATCCATGGGTCTGAGAACGGGGCAGTATCGGTGGAGAGCTTGGATCTGTTCTGGGCTCTGCATATCTCTGCACACTTCTTGGGACAGACAAGAGAAGTTGTCTAACAATTCTCCCATGCTTGCTTTCAGTTGGTTCCTTTCTGAGAGCAATTTCTCTTTCTCACACACCTGAAAAAGAAAGAACATATCTTAGGTTGAGGAAGGACCATCCACCAGCTGTACACTCTAGGCATGTATGCAGCAGTACCCGGGAAAAACACCAACACGTCACAGTTGGTTTGATGGGTAAAGGAAAAGTCACAGAGACATCAGGTATTTGACCACCGTGAAGTCTGTGTGGACTACAGCTTCGAAAACATCTTCAGAGTTAAACATTTGACTTGGAAGAGGATAGAATTACAAGTTATTCCCAAGAGACTGTTAGCTCTCTCTCTAGACTAAAGATGATTGGATGATACAAAAAACACTCAGAAAGAAACATTTTTATGAAGAAAAGCCATTACCCATGTAAACAGCAAGAAAACAGGGCTTAGCTCTTGAAGTTAGGATATGTTGCCAGGGCAGTGGTGAGTGCTCTCCTCCCTGTACTCAGGAGGCAGACTGGGAGGGTTAGGCACAGAGCCAGACCTGGAGTTACACCTCTAAAAACTGGTTTTGACTCAGCGCAGACTGGTTGGGATGCTCCTGCTGCATCACTTGCTGTCCCAGGAAGACGGGTATATAGCTCAAAGGAGTAGATGAGATTTTGTAGAATACCAGAGCTATTTCCAGAGCTGAGCTGGCCCCCAAAGCAGCGCAGTTGTGTACCTCACCTAGTAACACCGCTAAACCCAAGCTGCCTCAGCATCTGAGGTGTGAAAACTCCACAACTCAGATCATCCAACTATGGGTGGCTGTTGACAGCTGATAGTATTGCCCTGGGTCTGAAGCCTGCACTAGAAGCACACAGCTGTGCGAATGAGAAAGAGAGCAGTGCACATGAAAAGAACCAACTGCTAAAATATTGATAAATCTATCAAGAAAGCAAAAAATTATAAAAAAATAAACAGATGCTCAAGTACATCTTGAGATAATGAATTATGGAAGAGAATATGCTGTGAGTTTGCAGGGAAAAAAAGAAATGTAAGTGGGTAGATGGATAAAGAGGGAAAGCAGGCAAAAAACATACCTATCAAGCTCAGAGGATACGACCATTACGCTCATTGTCTGCGGTGAAACCATCTGCGTCAACAAGATGGGTGACTTACAGGAATTAAGTGCAGGGGGAGAAAGAGGTATTTCATAAAAAAGACCCCACTGAGTGAAAACCGCTTAAACCCCAGGAGCACTACACAATTCAGGAGACTGGAAATTACTGGTCACAAAGTGGACAGAAGATGACAAAGGAATTTCCAGTGATGATGTGTGAAGTCAAGTGGAGTTTTACTGCTGGCTCTCTTAAGTGGAAGAGTATAGATCTTGAAGCAGACTACCTGCTTGGACATCATGCGTATGGAGGGAGGGCAGGAGTGCTTGAGAGGCAACGTTATAGTTGCATGAGCTTAATTTTGCAGCTCTATACTCTTGCACATCTCGTGACTGTCTTTTTTTATGAATGTCCATTTTCAGAACGAGCTCCCACAGAATCACACAGAATAGTTTAGGTTGGAAAATACCCTTAAGATCAAGTCTAACCATTAATCTAACACTGTCAAGTCCACCAATAAACCATGTCCCTCAGTGCCACATCTACATGTCTTTTAAATACCTACAGGGATGGTGACTCCACCACTTCTGTGAGCAGCCTGCTCCAATGCTTGACAGCCCTTCTGGTGAAGGCATTTTTTCTAACGTTCAATTTAAACTTCCCCTGGTGCAACTTGAGGCCATTTCCTCTTGTCCTATCAGTTGTTACTTGGGAGAAGACCGACACCCACCTCATGACAACCTCCTTTCAGGTAGTTGTAGAGAGTAGTAAGATCTCCCCTCAGCCTTTTTTTCTCCAGGCTGATCAACCACAGTTCCCTCAGCCGTTCCTCATAAGACTTATGCTCCAGGCCCTTCACCAGTTTCATTGCTCATCTTTGGATCAGCTCCAGCACAGGAGCATATGTCTCTTGTAGTGAGAGGCCCAAAACTGAACACAGTGCTCGAGGTACAGCCTCACCAGTGCTGAGCAAAGGGGTACAATCCCTTCCCTGGTCCTGTTGGCCACACTATTTCTGATACAGGCCAAAATGCCATTGGCCTTCTTGGCTGCCTGAGCACAAGCTGGCTCACGTTCAGTGGCTGTCAATCAGCACCCCCACATCCTTTCCCACCTGGCAGCTTTCCAGCTACTCTTCCCCAGGCCTGTAGTGTGCATGGGGACACTGTGGCCCAAGTGCAGGACCTGACACTTTGCCTTGTTGAACCTCACACAATTGGCCTCGGCCCATCGATCCAACCTGTCCAGATCCCTCTGTAGAGCCTTCCTGCCCTCCAGCAGGTCAACACTCCTACCCAACTTGGTGTCCTTTGCAAACTTACTGAGGGTGCACTTGATCCCCTCATCCAGACCACTTACCAGATACTAAGCAGAACTGGCCCCAGTACTGAGCCCTGGGGAATACCACTGGTGACTGGCCACCAACTGGAGTTAACTCCATCCACCACCCCTCTTTGGGCCTGGCCACCCTGCCAGTTTTTTTCTCAGCCAATAATACACCCCTCCAAGCCATGAGCAGCCAGCTTCTCCAGGAGAATGCTGTGGGAAACAGTGTCAAAAGCTTTACTGAAGTCTTGGTAGGTAACATTCACAGCATTTCCCTCTTCCACTGCTCAGATCACCTTGTCATAGAAGGTGATAAGGTCAGTCAAGCAGGACCTACCTTTGATGAACCCATGCTGACTGGGCCAGATCACCTGGTTATCATGTGTGTGACATGTGATGGCGCTCAAGGTGATTTGTTCATAACCTTCCCTGGCACTGAGGCCAGACTGACAGACCTGTAGTTCCCTAGATCCTCCTTCTGGCCCTTCTTGTACATGGGCATCATATTTGCTAACCTCTGGTCTGCTTGGACCTCCTGAACAGGTCAAAGTCTGCCCTCTGGAAGTCCAAGGTAGCAGTTCTGCTGATCTCTCTCCTTACTTCTAGAATCAAAAACTCTTCATCATTTTGTGATTGCTGTGCCCAAGACAGCCTCCAAGCACCACGTCATAGAGTCCCTCTCCGTTCACAAACAGGTCCAGCACGTACCTTCCCAGTTGCCTCACTCACTACATATTGCTACATACTCAAGTCCGGCTTGCTAAGTATACATTTCTTTTGAAGAATTCTGCACCTCAAAGGGGTTTTGATTCCTGAAATTCAGTAAGGATCAGGACCACAAGGTCACTCATACACTTTTCATTCATTTCCCTGAGATGTGTGTGTGTGCAGGGGAGAGAAGGGGCCTTAAAAGTATTATTTTTCCCTATACACAGGGTTGAATATGCTAGACAATAACAGTAATGTCAGAGGATTGCATAATGCCAAAGAACCCAAATTAATTCTCAAGTAAAGGCTACAGGTGAAACCCCACCTTGCTGCTAGCCCAGCCCTTAAGAGTGGTGCTCTGCTCTGAAGAACAAGAGACATCCTCATCACCAGATCAGCCAGTACTGGATCTGCTTCTGACAGCCTGGATGAGGAGTCGCTCTTTCGCCCTGCAGAATCTCTGACTCAGCCCACATGCACTGTGGATTAACAGTTGCTCACTGTTTTATTTACCTTCGATGTTTTGTTTGTTTTGCATCAGGGGAGCACTACTCCAAACAATGCTTTGATATTAACCTCTGCTTTTTTTTTCCCCAGGACTTCAGCAGCATGGTATCTAAAGGCTTCACAAGCCTTGATGATTTACGCCTCTCAACCAGCTTATGGGGCCAGTGTCACATCCCTGTTACACAGGTGACGCAGATAGGCAGAGGCAGTGAGTAACCCAAAGTCATATGGCTTTCTGCCATTTGTGAGATGATTGTAACTCAGCTTCTTCCAACAGATGCCTCCTTCATACAACATTTGCTACAGCTTGTGTAGAGAATGAAGCATGACAAAGCCTACACTAAAGGCCACTATTATGACAAGAACAAGAAGTACCTAGCTCCCAAGACCCACCATGTTCAACCTACAACAGAGCATGTTTTAAATGCGCACAGAGACATTTTAAGTCAAAGACTCCAAATAACCTTTAACAGAAGATGGGCACACAGAGATCTCAGTAAGGAAATCAACTTAAACTCCTTTTGTTTTATCTATGTGAATGAATTAATTTATTGCTCAAATCCTTGAAGGCTGGGTCTAATGCTAGACTCCTAAATCTATGCTTCGTAATGCAACTGAACTATACAGTTCTGCATGCTGCACACCCACATTTCTCACAGCAGCTGAACTGGGGCTATTACATCAAATTTTTTTTGACGTTTCTGAAAGCTTTTAGGGCTTTCAAACAGATGAGGAGGTTCTAACCCACGCTGATGTTCCAGTGTTGCATCTCTCCTGCTGAGTGACACCCACGTAGACATTTCCTTCCCCATGACCCCTGTCTCGAGCCTTTTTTTTTTTGTTGTGTACCATCTTGCTTTCTCAATGGGCAAGGGATGATGGGGGAAGAGGAGAAGGAGCCTCAGACCACAGGGGCATGGTCACAAAGGAAGGGAGTTTTATCAGATTAGTTTCCTACAGCTAAAATATCTACATGTGACATGGCTCTCCAGGTGATCTTATTTAGCAATGGAGAGGAACAGGCAGTTCTGGGCTGTATGTCACCGCCCCTGCAGCACTGGATGAGACAAAAAAAACCTTGTCATTTCTCTTCACTGGCTATAAAGGAAACTAGGACAAGTAGCTGCACTGCAAGTGTCTATATTGTAGACATCTCTATGTAGCCACCCAAACCACACCTGAGGTGTTTGTTACTTAAAGAGAGAGGAATTTCCTAAGCAAACACTTAGCCTTGCTCCAGTCAACTCACTTCAGATTAGAATGTGGTAGCACTGTCCATTGACACCTTGGCACACAGGAGACCTGTCCCCCGATGTGCTCTGGCCAGCGAGCAGAGCATGCTTTGCTCTCCTTTCCACAGTAGACTACTGTGAGACACAAACGTCAATGAGGGTTGGGGCAAACCAGCAGCTGCCACCTGAACCATGCACAGAGGACATGAAGGCCAGTGCAATGTGGAGTGGGAATAGGCCTTTTGTGTTAGATGGTCCTTGAATTGCGGTGTGTGTGTGCGTTTCAGTCCATGCCATACCAGGAGCATTAGACAGGAAAAGAGAGCAGGAGCAAGGAGGAACATACCCTTGCCATCCCACTGACATACACCAACAGATGCCCACTTGTCTGGATATTCACATTCCTGGCTTTTCAATTCCCCTTCCATTTCTGCCATTTGCTCAGTAAATAAAAAGAAGTGAACTAAAGACATAGCGACCAGAAATATCCTGGAAACACTGACCTGCCATCTAGCACACAAAAAAGAAAGAAAATCGCTATGCAGAGATGAATCTGGCTCCGCCACACCACTGTTTGGACCAGACAATCTCTGAAGTTCTCTTCATACCTACCTTTTTTGAGCACTCCACAAATCCATGATGAACAGATTGTTATGGTATTTAGGCATGGAGATGCGGCTTGGATAAGGAAATGCCATTGTGAAGGCACTGTAAGTACTGGGAGTAAGTTAAACTGCAAGAAGGGAGCTGTGATACAGGTTTCCCTCCTCTTCCAACTCATTTGACAATTCATTCTTGTGGTATCAGAATAAAGAGATATCTAGGCCTAATTCCACTCTGTTTCCCATAAACATTATATACACACATACCAATATATTTTTGTATATTAATTTTTCGTACTAGTGGCTCCACTTACTCATGTAAAAACTGACTGAATCCACTAAACGCTGGACAGGAATTACTGTAAGTGCCATGCAAGCTGCACCATGAGGGTGAGTGGAGACACAGCAAGAGCACACAACTCACCAACTTGCGGATTTCACATTCTAGGTTTTGAATACAGTCCAGTTTCCTCTTGCGGCAGCGCTGAGCTGCAATTCGGTTCTTGCTGCGCCGGCGGACATCGTGGATGAACTCTAGCTGCTCTGAGGTTAGCTTGTGCATCTTTATCATCATCTGGAAATCATTCCTTGGAAGATCTGTGATTTGATCAACAGGAAAAGGAAGTTTCACCTAAACCAAACAAATAGAAAACAAGAGGGAAGAGTCATATTTTGATTGTTGAATGCAAGCAGAACAACAGCGAGCGGAAGGGTAAGTACCTATGCTGCCAAGCCCTAAACAAACAAAACACAAAGTTTTACATTGAGCAGGTTTTTAACACTCCCTTGTGGCACATTGAGGAGGTCCAGCTAGTAAGGATCGGATATAACTGTACTGAAATCAGCAATGCAGATGAGTCCCAGGTAAAAATGTCATCATTCTAAAAAGCTTTAACAGATCTCCTTGCACTAAAAGAAGGTTCTGTCCACTAAGAGATGCAGCCTTTTAAAAACAGCGAGGTACCTCACTGCTATTAATTTCAAACTAATTTCAATGAACAAGCTATTACCACAACTGGAAACCTGTCTCTGCATGGCTTGCAGGACTGCAATTTTGAGTAGGTGTGAGATTAAAAATGCAACCTGACACCTCAGATAGATGAAAATACCATGTTGCAATTAGTAAAGGTCATCTAATCAACATTTCAACTGAGCAGTACACCATATAAGAAGAAAGAGTCAGAGGAGTGTGATGTAATTTATCCATACGCATTTTGAGCTAAACCAATGTTTGCTGACATTCTAGTATTTTTGTAGATTGATGAGCACCCAACTCACATTTCCTGAAAAAAACCCAAACAGTCTAAAACTCCAGTTACTTGCAGTAAACCGTTCTTCTCTGGGCCATGAATTGCCACCCAGTTTTAACCTAGACTATGCAACAGTAGCTCTAGGTTCTGGCCTCAGCAATTCCAACCATCTCTCCAACTCTTACTGAGGATGCATTAAAGCAAAGCAAAACACAAAACTCCTGACAGCTTGGAGCAATGAACACACACTGCCTCAAAACCTGGAGAATGGTGGATGCACTCAAAGATTTCTGTTAGCTTTCTTCCCAGACCTACCAGCTTGCTCCAGTCAAAGTGAACACCTCTCCCTACAAACCCTGCTTCACATCCAAAATATGTTCCTTGGTGGACTGCTGTGTTTGGTGGTCAAATAAGAATCAATTGAGAAGGCTGAAGGAAATGACAGCTGAGTATGACCCCTTCTTTTTCTGAGTCATACCCACACTGCCCAAAAGATGGCAGTAAATATTTACATTTCTGTCCGGATTTAGTACAACCCGATCTCTCAAACAAGACTACTCTGCATGCAGGCTACCAAAGAAGATATAACTTAAGTTGGTCCAGCCAAGCAAAAGATACGGGTCGGAAAGGTTTACTTTTTCTATTTAAAACATGGTTATTGTCTTTAAATAATGCACTTCAACTATCCCGAGATAAAGAAAATAACAGCATAGATAGAAATAAGTTATTTTCACTGGAAAGCTAAGTTTGTTTATGCAGAACAGTTTGCTGAGGACACATGTACACAACACACAGCAGTGGCCTCTGGCACCAGACCCTTGCTGGGCACCTGGACCTTCCGATATCCATCTCCTTGCTTTACTCATGACCTTGTGGTTTTTTTGCACTCTTCTATCACTGCTCCATGCATCTCGAAGTCTGGGCCACGTGAAATTCAGTGCATCCTTTCAGATGGTTTCAGGCCTTGAACCTTGTCCCCCTGCCATATGTATCCAGGCACCACACTGTAATACATTACCTGACACACCAATTGAAACTAGCAAGAAACAACAAACTGTCCCAGTCCCCCCAAATTCCTGCTTGTACACACAAAGGCTGTGACCTTAGGCATGGTGATGTGGACTACCTTGTTTACAGACTGCTAACTAATGGCATGAGACCTGTTTGCTTTCCCCTCCCTAGCCTTTGGACGATCAACATAAACTTGGTGTCACCTGCTTTTCTCTCAAGCTTCAACCATGGTCTGAAAATGAAAGCAGCTTGTGCTCTCCTCTGAAAGACACCACAGTTTCACTGCAAAAAAAGTCCTTGCATTTGCCCGGTTTTTCCTTATTTTCTTAAGTCAAAAGCAGAAAGTGATGTTAACTTCAATTTCTTCCTCCCTCTCCTTTCAAAACATTCACTTGCAAGGAGGAGATGTGCTTGCTGGAAGCGGAATGAAAGGGAAGCAACTTCTATCTGTCAGGTAGAACTTGTTAAAGGAAATGGGAAAATAAATAGAAATTTATATTAAAAAAAAAAAAAAAAGGATTGAAAATAGACCCATCTACACAGCAGGCCAGAGACTGCTATCAGTAAACCCAGCATAATCCCACTCCTGTCATAGGAGCGCATAGCACTGCGCAGGATTAAAATCATTAAAGGGAGAGTGGAAGCGAGTCAGACTCATTTCCTTCACCATTCACAGCATTTTTATTGCCTGTCTCCCTCTCCAAAATCTGCTGTCAACTGAAAAAAAAAAAAACCCAACCACCAAGGCTTTGGCACAGAGACAGTGAATAACTGCACCGGAATACTGCTGCCATGAGAGGCTAATAGTGTTCTATGCTGGCACAGGGCAAGACTCTCAGCTGGCAGTTATCCTAACAGAGCGGTAAGTCAATTTGTAAGAGCCAACCACTGTGGCATGGGTGGGATTCATCTGACCCACTCAGAACTGTCTGAAATAATGGTTTCACTAGCTGGCATCGAGGACAGAGCAGCCTTCAGATGCCAATGCATCCCGCAATGCTTCTCCCTCCTCCTGGCTGCAGAAGGAGCAGGCATGAGGCTTAGAGAAGATGCTGCATTTTACAGTATCTAAAGTAGGTGAGAGAAATCTTACCTGTGGTGTCTGAAAAAGGACAGTTAATCTTTTCCAAGATGTGTAAGAAACCCCCAGCAAGTATGTTTTCTTGTAAAATTTTCCTTTAATAACTATGAATTTTACACAGGAAATGACTGTCTACTCTTCGGTTATTTGGTTATGATTATTTCAAACTACAAATACAAACTGGATCCCTTCTCCTTCCAGGAGTTACTCCAGCCAGACCTAACCTCACAGAGCTCTCAAATCTTCCCTATCAACACAACTACTCTTTCCCTGCAGCAGCAGCTCTGTTTCCACCACAAAACAAATAAACTGGCATTTTCTGCCACTGCTTGTGGCTTCTACTGCCCCTGGCTTCGGGTAATGCACTCCTGAGAGGACAGCCAACCCACACTGGTGGCAAACGAAAACCTGTTGATGATTTCATGGCATTTTCTCTCCCCTGTATTAGCTTGGGATGCCAGTGTAAATGTCATTGCTTTGAGCGGCTAAGTAACAGCAGCAATCTAGAGAGATGGGGACAGCCATTGACTCAGCACATGAAAGGCCCATATACAACCAATTAATTACTTCAAGCTTCTCAGTTTGGATCATATGCCAGTTACTGCTGTACCACTCACGTACTGTACTAGTTACTGCTGCTACTGCTCTCCCCCTCTCCTTTTCTATGGAACAAAGGGAAGGACCAAGACTCCATATTCCCTCACATTAAAATACAAGCATCAAGTGTTGAGAACTTTATTTTATGAGTAACATTAGCTTTTCATTCTTTATTTGTATCTAAATTTCAACATCTTCCTCGAGCTGGCAACTGCTATTAAAGATAAGGAACTTCCCAAATTTGGTTTAACATCACAGCAACTAAAAGGATATGCCTGCTGGGCATAAGAAAAAGTTACTATGTACTGGGCATAGGAGGGTGGCACTCCAATCTGCTTTTGCAGAAAAAAATTCAAGAACTGGAGAGTCCTCAAAGCTCCAGCAAGATCTTAACTTAAAGCTTAGGGCTTAACAGAATTGACTGTAGGCTGCAATAAACTAATACAGTGTTTAAAAGCACCTTCCTGAAATGTCAAGCCTGTAATGGAAAACTCTCAGTGTTGTAATCCAGTAATTCTCTGCTACCAGCATGGAGACAGCTCCTATTGAAGAGGGGAAAGAGAACAAAACTGCCATTAAGTTCAACTTGCAAGAACGATGGTTAACAAGACTCTGTTTAACCACATGTTGCCAAACACGAATTTCCCAGTGCTCTGCTGATGCCACTGAGGATCCCGGTCAGGGGAATATCCATCGGAGAAGAATGTGGAGAGTAAATTTCTTATTTTCAGATTTGTAAACCCAGTAAGGTCACGAAAGCTGGGGTGACTGGTCACCAAATTCTGGGGAGGAGCTACATGCAAAAGCAAGTTAACACTGTAACATGTATTTTACATGGTCTAGTGTGAGATGTTCCGCCCATGGCAGGGGGGTTGGAACTAGATGATCCCCAGGTCCTTTCCAACCCTAACCATTTTATGTTTCTATGCGCTTTCTACGTAATAGTCTTCATTAAGCAGAAATATTAAGCAACAAAGAAGACTCAGCTTAGGTAACTCAGGACAGCTCCAGTAGATTTTTGGTAGAGCAACTTTGGTTGACCCCCTTTAACGGGCCTCTGATTTCTCGTACTTTGTTAAGCATCATCAGATGAACAGAGAAAGGGTGGCTGCCTGTCACTTAGCACGGAGGGATCTGGGCTCTCACTGAAGGTTATTTCCCTACAATATCCTCAATGGTCCAATTGCGCTAGCTTTGCAATTCCCTTTGAAAAGTGAGTCACTAACCCAGGCGGGAAATTCTTTTGAAATACAAATGAAAGACACATTGAATGCAATTCTCTAGATAATAATAGTTCTTGGAAACCTCCACCTCTCACCTCCTCCTACCCTTGTTTATTCTTTCCCTAAGAAAACTCACTCATCAAATTAGACTGAGATGATTTCTTTTTAGCTGGTTTTGTAGTACAATATTTTTTACAAGTTTTCTAGTAGAAAAAAACACAGATATTTGCTGAAGAAAAGAAGTATCAAGAAAGGTAGGTAGTGCTGAAGTTTCTGTTCCTAAGTAGGTTAACAGATTGACAGACTACTTCCTTCTCAGCAATTCATTATTTCAGGGCTTATTGTCTTGTTGTTGCTATTTTAAGCAGGATTGTCAGAACTTGCCTACAAGCACTGAGCATAAGTCTTCTCTCTACTATTATATCCCAATAATTGATTTTTAACAACCTGTGGAGGCCTGAGGGAGCTGGGTGAAAAGAGCAACACAAACTGTTAAATATTTCTGTAAAGTCCTAGCAGCTCAAGTAACAGCCCCATTCCTGCAACTCTGTAAGAGGGGGATACCCCTCACTGCACTTGCTGCTTCTATCACAAAGCCTTAAGAAAGGGAAATCTCGGAAGATTCTGGCCATTCCTTAACAGGAAGGAAAATGAAAGGCAAAAACATCCCATAAAGGATTTACCAGTGGTGTCATGGGGACTGTCACCTCCTCTGACCCCAATGGGACAGGGAGGCTGGTGAAAGAGCAGGGTCATCTTCACCCACATGGCACTCATGTCAAGCCCTAGCACCCCACTTTTGGCAGCAAACAACTCGGGCATATGCTCCTAAACAGCATCCACCTGCAGGAGAGCAGACGGTCCAAAAAAAGCAGAGAGAAGAAACTTTTCACCTACTTCACACACAATCGATACACTGGCAACTGATGTTTTGTGACATCAATTCTGGGACCAACAGCACTCCGGGAGCCAAGTCAAGACCAACAAGGTCCAAATTCCTGGGGAACTGAGCAGCCCCATGGGATAACTGAGGGTCAGAGTCCATCAGGCTTATTTCTATCGCCCAAATGAAAGCCCACCCACAGCAGAAGAGCCCATGTGACCACCTGTGTGTTGCCCCAGGCTATCTTATCAGGGCTTTTTTAAAGAAGCCCAGCAAACACTGTGTGATCTGATACAGCATGGGCCAAGGGACCCATCTGGGAAGTCACCAGGAAAGCACGGGCAAAATGACAATTTCTGGAATGGAGAAAGATTCCCCTGAAGCTTGCATGCAGGTGAAGGACAGAAAGCAGATCCTTTCAGACTGCTGTGAGCCTCTCCTGCTGTGTTAATGGCAGCCAAACTGCTAAAAGTAGGTAAAGCAACTTACATCAAACCTTCCTGCTGCTATTTTCTACTGCTGGGTTTAACATATCCTTCACTGCAGCTTCCACAGCAGAGGATCTTGCAGGATTGTAGGGTACACCCCCCAAGTTGCTGTACAAACACAGCATTGTTTAATGAGGCTGTAAAGTCCTTCCTTGTACTGGCAACAACCTTTACAAATTTGTTTTACAGACAAAATCTGCACTGAAGCACCAGTGTGATCTGTTTACCCTTGGCTTGTTCAGGGCTGTGCAGTGCAACTTCGTGGAGCATTAATTTCCTCACATTTTTAATGCCTGGCAGTCCTGTTTAAAATGCCCTGGGGAAAAGAGAAAAAAAAGGGGGGGAAAAAAAAAGGAAAAAGGAAAATAAAGCACCTTATCAGCAGTCCCAGGGAGAAACCTTGCTCAGCACAGCACAGAAAACCTTCCCAGGAGGAAACCTGCAGCAAAAGTAGGAGTGCAGCAAATCCTTCCTTAGCTCTGCCCCAGAGCCACAAACATCTGCCTGCCAGTTGCACACCCAGCTGGCCTCCCACCCATTTGCTCCTCTTGTCCCTCCTGTCATCCAAGGTCTCCTGCACACATTCACATACTTTTTTTGGGAAACCACCACCAGTCCCTGTAACCTTCTCATTTGACTCTTACAGGTTTGTTTTTGCTGCAGCATCTCCACACAATTAGCCAATTACGACAGCTAATTAATCATCAAAACCCAAAAGGCTAACCTCCCACCCTCTTTGCTGCCTCATGCTGTATATTAGCCCTTGCTGAGCAAGCAGCACATGTGGCTGGAGATTTGATGCTCCCCGCAGTCCCACTCTCTGCTCCCTTCCACCTCTCATAAAGGCAGGACGTCACCAAATAACCTTGGTATTGTCAGAGAGGTTCTGCCATAGGGCTTCCAAGGGAGGTCCTAAACACAGTATCACAGACAGCCTCCCAAGGAGACTCCTCTCCCCTCTGCAGTGTCCCCAGTTCAGGATATGGGGCCAAACAAGAACTGTCCTCTCAAAGCCACCAGTACAGTGTGACAGGGATTGACACACCTGAGGCTCCCCAGACCTTCCTTACAGTTAAGCAAGCAACTTCTGCCAAGAAGGGTTGAACCAGATGATCCCTGAGGTCCCTCCAACATGGTATTCTGTGACTCTAAAGGAACCACCCACTTCTATCTAGAATGTAGCTGGAATAAGGATTGAGGGATAAAATAAACTTCGCTCTTCTCATGCCTAGCCCACCACTAAGGCTGGTTCTAAACTGGGTGCTCGATGCATGTGAACATCCCAAACATGCACTCACTGCTCCCCATGCTGAAGCACAAACTCTCAGTGGAGAATTTCAGCATTACCAAAGGAGCCAGATATGTGATTTCACCCAGATGCTCTCAGGTCATGCAGTTTCCTAATGAAACGCTACGAAAACACCCAGTCTGTTTTTCAGTTTCTGGGCTCCACAACACATCTCCATGATTTAAGTCTTTCCTCAAACTAGGAACTTCATGCAGACAGTTTATTCAATCATTGCAGCATCTCCACCTGGGCCATCTCTAGTTTTAGAGCAGGCGCTCTTTTCCCTCTTTCTCACAGGAGATCTGCATGGAAACTCACAGCTTGCTCTTCAGCCCCAGACCATTCCCCTGCCGTTCTCTAGCAGTCCTGGAAATTAAAGGATAATTTCTCTTTGAAACCCTTTATGCATAGAGTTCACCACCAAACAAAGTGGGGCCACGGGCATTAAACACCATCTCAGCTGTCACTTAACAGAGGCAGAACCCATCACCTGCACATGCGAGACACATGCACACACAAAGGGAAGACTACTTGAATACCGTTCCCACAGCTGAGAGTGGGCAGCTATGTAAGTAACCTCACACCTCTATCTCCTCCCACTCCGTCTGCCTCCTCTACTTGGGCTGTTAGCAGTATGCAGCAGGGGCTCTTCGGAGCAGGCTGCCCAGCCCTTGGTGTCAGTGAAGGCATGGTGTGAGGTTGCTAAAACATACCAGCAGCAATAACAAGCGGAGCTGGAATCACCTCTGCAAATGAAGGATGAGGAACAGTGCTTTGTGCCCTGGGACTGGGTAAGGGAGGGAGGAGGACAGGACACTGCTAGCAGGCTCCTAAGCACATCGATGCATTTTCATCATTCAGCAGTTTGCCATTGTCCCATACCCAAATTCTGATAATCACCAAACACCTCTGTGGTCAAGCAGACCTATTTATGTGAAGTCAACCATGCACCCTCAGCGGATGAGGGAATAAACAGGAATTACTCTTTGCTCCTATAAACAAAGAAAGTGATGGGGAAATGCCGAGTCATTTGAAAGGGTCAAGGGGCAATTAACTGGGTCACAATGATTGCGATATATGAACTTATCTTAAATCCCTACCTCATGCCCTCTGTCTTGCACAGGACATGATTCACTGTCTGCTTCTGAGAATGACCCAGACTCATCGCTGGAGTTTGTTCCATAGGATGGCTCACATTTAATCTGGGCTCGGACTGGGTTGTACAATCCGTCCCCCACCACACCGGGCTCCTGGTGCTCAGGTGCCAGGAATCGGGGGCCTTGGGAGCAAGGGGAAGAGGAGAGCTCGCAAAGACGCAGGCTGCAGGGGGAGCCGCCGCTGCCGTCCTCTGCATATGAGTAGGAAGAGCATGAGCTGGATGTCCTGGTTCTGGTTTCCAAAGGAGGAGAGCGAGGGCAAACTTTAATTGGCACCGGACAGCTGGTGTTCGGCCGCATCCTTCCCGGCAAGTGATCAGCTGTCAGTCCACTGTGCGAATAGGTCTGAGAGCTGGGGAGAGACTGGCTACTGCCAGCCCACAGACCCTTTGGCACAGTCTCAGTGAGGTCTTTGTCCAAGCTGCTCACACCAGAATATGAATGCACCGAAGTGTTTACTTGGTCACAAGCATTTGAAGAGAATATAACACTTCTCCTGTCCAGTTCCCCTTCTTGCTTACAGAGAGTTTCAAAGCCGGGCCCCCTGAGTGGCGATCCCACTGTGAAGTTGGAAGCATCCTTCTGCATGGCATGGGACTGTCCATAGTTCCCTGTGAAAGGGATGTAATCAGTTTTGTGGTCACCCTGAGATGTCCCTTTTTCAAAAGGGCATGCTGGACTCCTGCCAAAGTGCTGTTGGGAAGTGCTGGGGAAGCCAACCAAATCTATGCTTTTTGTTCTGTTGAAGAAAGACCGCAAGCAAGAAGAGGAGGACCCACTTTTCGGCCTGTCAACGCAAGTGGGGCTTGGCTGTTTCCTGTCCATTTCAACATCCCCTTCTTTATCCCTGATGTCAGGTTCATCTCCAGACAGGCAAAGTGTGATGCTTTCTTCATCATTCTCTTCATTCTGAGGCTCGCTTTTTATCTGCCCCATAGCAAGTCCTGATTTGAGGCCATTTCCAGAGCTCTCTTCACTGAATGTGCTTGCAAAACCTGAGGTACTGATGTGTGATGTGTTGTAGACATTCTTGGTACAAGCAAGCTGGTATTTCTTGTATCTGGGGTACCGTGTTACTGCATCTTTATCCAAATTGTCCTTGCTGTCCCTCAGCATGTCAGAGTCAGGTAGCATCCCTTCGCCTTTGTCTGCTCCAGCAACAGTGGTTTCAAAATTGAAGGGCTCTTGGTGCATCCTCTCTCTGGGGCAAGATATTTTTGATGTCTCCGATTCCATCGTCTCCTCCTCATCTCCATCCGAGTTCTCCTCATCGTGCATGCGCTGGCATGTGGTATCTTTTTTGCACAGGAACAGGCCATCTTCGTTGTTCAGCAGCTGCGTCTGAAGGAAGCTGAAGCAGGAGTCCTCCAGGTTGTGCATGCGCAGGAATTCAGCGCAGTGGATGACCTCCTGGATGTTTTCTCTGCTGAGTAACAGCTTAGCAGTGTAAGCAAACTGTAACAATGGACCAAATCCCCTGACAGTGACCTGCAAAAAAACAGATGGGGAAATTGACAGCGTTATTATCAGCTCTTGGTATCATCCCAGGTCCTTCATCGCATAGTTACTCTAGCACGCCAGCAGTGACGCTACATTCAGTAACCAGCACTGCTCCCTATGTTGCTCCTGTACACCATTACAGGTTGAGCTGAACACTATTTTCCTAAATACCTTGACGACCTATGAACTAAGCCTCTTCTCTAATGAAAGGCTGGAAAAAAAAAGACTGGTGTGGACGCTGATAATCCTTGGATGGATCTTATTGTAACTGTGATGAGGCACACTTCCACGAAAATAACAATTCAATTTTGATTCCTTTTTTTAATTGATTCTTTTTGATGAAAAAAAAATAGGTTCAGTACTGGCTGCACAGTTCTTTTTTCCATCCTGTGGAGATTACTCTCACACAGTTCCTGATTTTAGTGAGTCTAAGGTACAGCTAACATGAAAGAAATCCATATACATAGTTCAAGCAATGCAAACTACTCTGAGTCTCAGCCCAGTACTTAATTTTTCACCATTTTCTTCGTAGGAAAGAGTAACAAGTATTTCCAGGACAGTGATCTCCAACCAAGTGTTCCAGGTCTGAGTTATGCACCACTACTCGTCTTTTTTTCTCATCATGCCATCTATATTTCTCATTCACATATCATATAATAAAAAATACACACGTCCGCCCCCCATTTTTTTTCAGCGATATCTTCACACATAACTGCCAAATAACTTGCCAAACCACATGGTAAACTATAGATACAGTCTAATTTTTGACAAAAAATGCACTGGCATTAACTTCTGTTGTATTTTTTCTCTCAGTGGGCAGGAAGCAAAGGCACTGGAAAAACCATTCTTCATGAAGCAGAGCAGAGGCTGCTTCAAAACCTGGGCTCACCATCAAGGATAAAGGTTTTTCCACAAGAAGGAGATTCAGTGGTTTGGCCGCTAAGTTGAGAGACCATAACTCAATTTCCCATTGCACTAACCACCTTCTACGTGACCCTGACAAGTCACTTCAGTCTTGATTCATGAAGATGCCTTCTTCCCTTGCTTGCAAGTGGTGTTCATGAATCTAAGTTCCCTGTGCTTTGCATACAAAGGAAAGACATTTAGATGGGATTCAAACCAGCCAAATGCCTTCATGTGTATGTGAGGTTGGAACACAACCTCCTGATACAACTGAGCCCAGCTCAGTTGCTTCTTTTAAAACCAACAAGAAGAGGAAGCACTGCTGTCCCCTTTTTGTAAAATGGCCTAAAGATCAGAAGAGAGACATAGAAAGTAGAAGACAAGGTCCATTCCCCAGGGATTCAAACTCACATTTCCCAGCTCCTCAGAAGGATATCTTATCAAGTAGGAATGTGATATCCCAAAGGTGAGCTGCTTTTCCCTGTCCTTCCAATTGAATTCACGCCACTGCGCAAGAAGCTGCTCAAGAGGTCAGTGAGAATCAGGCCACGAATTTGTGATGGTCTTATTTGTGATGAGCATAAATCTGAGTGAATGATTTGGTTCATCCCAATTAAAACCTTATAAATTGCCTGCATTGCCTCAGGACCAATGGAAGAGCTTACAGATTTTTATAGACAATCCTGACTTCCAGGAAAAAACCCTTTTTATTCATAGATCTGTACTTGTGATGCTGGATTATGAAGACACCACAAGTGGTGATGGAGAGAACAATATTTTAAAACACCTCTACAATTGCTCCCAGTAGCTTTTCCATACATAATATTACCGCTGTATCTGCTATTTTAAGAAACAGTGCATTTTCATGCAGATACTTACACACTTGCACATCCTTTTACAATACGCCTCTGGTTCAGAATTGCCTAGATTTACAGCTGGCTATTAAACAGATCTCTGCTTTATCAGTGTTACACTTTCTGCCTATCTGTTAGATTATCAGCTCACTATAAAAGCCTATCTGCATTTTATCTATGCAGCATGATTAACAAAATTGCTTGGGAACTTAATGAGCTCCTTGCAGGCCGATGTTTCTCTTTCATAAGATATTCAGTGTGGGGGCTTACATATTCCTACACATTTTGCAAGCTCCACAGCAGCACAGACTGTAGGAGAAGCCATACATACTGTCTGGGGTTTTTGGGTTCCTTTTGATGAGGAGGGACTCTGAAGCACCAACTCAGCTCTCCTGGCAGTTGTGTCCCTTGGCCACTAGGTGGAACGACTGGAAAGCAAATGACAATCATTTGCTTGCCCGGCCAGGGTTTTCACCTGCCATCCTGCGGCCACAGCACAGGCACTCCGCAGAGCCCCGGCTGACTCAGACCACCCCACAGCACGGCTGTCTCCCACACCGACTCAGATTTTTGCTCCCCATAAATCACCATGATAACAGCAGCAAGACAGCTGTTACAGCTGTTCTGTGCTGGATGTACTGGGAACAGAGCCTGAAATTGCACCATGGGCTCCCGACAATGCCCAGCAGACACCTCAAGCGAAGGACGATGAAAACATTGGTGATGAATTTAACCTCACAAGATCTTACCCAATGACACAACTTTCCTCACTCTCAAGATCTTCAGATCCAAAGGGGGAAAGTTTCAAGCACCTGGTGCTTGTCATTGCCCTCGGGGAGTAATCTCTCAAGTGCCAATGCTTGAAACTACACGAACAATAACTTTAGAAACAAACAGATGCAAAGCTTGCTGCCAAGTGCGAAAACCAGTGCAAACTCTGCCGCCTGAAGCTGTCTAAATATTGATTCGGTTCCCGTGGTGGGTCCCCTGCCTCAGCTCCACCAGCTTTGGGACCGTGCATATCTGACGCATTCTGGCAGGATGGATGGATGAAATCAAAGCGCTGAAGCGTGGCTATGAGCACCATATACTAGGAGAGAAAAGGCTTTGAAGCCACGTGTATTACCATCACACATGCATTTCTGTAGGAAGAGGTAAGAACAGACTTTAAAAATGATTAGACCTGACTGATGCATCCCAGTGAAAACAGCTACTGAAACCAAGTTGATCTGTTTGCAGAAGGAAACAGATCATTTCTCTGATGTAACAGTCCCCATTTACACGTGAGAGAGACCTTTGCTGGATGAGTAAAACACATGCCAGCATCAATCTCAGTATATTCCCCCCCTACTGTAAATAAGATGCCATATGTCCAAGATTTGTTTGCTTTTAAGTGTTACTTTCCATGTACACTAATGTTTAAGTAGGCAGGTCAATTTGTGGGAACTTCCACCAAGCTCCTTGTCCAAGCTCATATGCCAAGTCACTGCTTCCCTGCTCTCCAATCATTTGCTTTATGCTAATTTCTACCTGTTTCTGTTGTGTAAATGGGTACAAGAAATTGAGGTATAGTAAAGGTAAAACATACATAAAAACATCAGTGCACACACAGACAAGAAAAGCAAAACAGAGATTCTCAGAGTCCTGCTTTCCCTTACCTTTAAAGGCAGGCCAGGAGAGGACTTCTCTTGTAAACATGAAACACACCAAACACCCTGCCAAGTCTAAGGATGAATCACTTCGTCTTGCTCCTGTCCCCAGCTGGTCTTATATGCCTTACAACCCATCTGCACAGCAGCACACAGAGGACATGGGTACTGCAACCCTACCTAAGCCATCTGGCACCTCTTCTTGCTCTACAACAATCCAAGAGATCAAGCACCAGGGATACACATGCACCTGTGCTGCTACAGGTACACCATGCTCAGGATGTGCTACAGAGGTCTACGTCAATTCAGCATTGTGGTGATAATAAGCCTGACCACTGCTAAGGTGAAAGAAAAGTTCTCCAGCCCTTTATGTGCCACTTGTCTTCCAGATTGTGCTAGCCAAGCCAGGGGATGTGTTTTGTATGTCCATGCCCTCATGAGTTTATGATACTGAGGAATGGGCTGGAAATAACGCAGTGATATAATCACCATCAAGAGAGTTGTTAATCAGCATTAGCCATATTGAATTTACCAGCAAAATACAGACAGCAGCCCTGCAGAAAACAAGCATGCAAAATCTATTTTAGTTCAGTCCAACACTGCTTTTCTCCTTTCATAGTCCTGTGGAGTGCAATGCTCTGGTTAGTTTTAATTGATTTAAGACACCAGACTTCCACTACTTCCTTTGGGAGATCATTGCCAGACTCTACTTAAAACCTCCCTGTGAGGAAATCTTCCTGCTCTTATTTTCCTCCATCATCTGTCATTACATTTTCTCGATGCATTCCCGGTAATGCTTCTCCCTTTTGAAGAAATATTTGTGGTGTTATACTCTCTGCCTTCCCTTCTTCTTTGGTTGGCATTATATCATTGACGAAAACCTGGCTATCTCAAGGAAAACAATATTGATCACTGTCAGATGGCACAATAAGAAGCTGAGACGAGAGTCAGCAATGAGGAATGCTAGTAAAGAAGGCAGCATTACAGATGCAAATATAGAACACTTTTAGCACAGCATTTTTCTAAAACTGGGCATGAGCTGTTCTAAAATTAGGAGGAGGGTTACCTCACTTTCATGTTAGGAACATCGTATTTTCATAAGGGACTCCTATGGCAGAGATTCTGTTTAAAGGCAGTTGTACACACACCCACAGGCACCACAGGAGACACAGCACTCACTGTGGGTGAACTCCCTCTGGCTCCCTATTGTACGGGGTCTCCTCCATGACAGCCAATCGAGCGTGCAAGCCTCTGCGTTGGCTGCATTGCCCACAGACGGGATGTGGCCTCCGAGCACATGCAGAGGTCTGACATTTCTGAGGGTAGGCTGGACTCCCTGTGCGCTGCAGAGTTCATCAGTGCTGCTCATTAGCTGCTGCCCAGACTTCCAGATGTCTCAAAATCCCAGACAAATAGACAAAATCCTCCAGTTCTGCACAGACAGTATTTCTTAGAGGGGGAAAAAAAAGGTTATTTCCAAGGGAAACATAGATGTCTGGTAACTCTGCTCCGAATGGCATCTGTATGAAAAGCTGCATATGGAGTGGGGAAGGTCAATCCCTGCAAAATGCCAGCAAGTCTG